TAACTCTACCCTTGCCAACCTCACGTATACGCTGTCAACAATATCCTAGGCATGAGGGGCAGAAGTGTCAATTACATGCAAGGCTTACTTTGACTAATAAAATTCCTATCAGAACAACCACGTTCTGAGCCATCAAAGGGGGGCAGTGAATTACAAAACTGCCCCCCTCCTTCTCATCTTAATGGACCAGAGCCTGTGGGAAGTTCTTAATAGAACGTGAACCCTGCTTAATTTGCTTATTGTTTCTCGGTGTAAATTCAACCTAGGTCTCTTGTAGCGTAGCAGGAAGTGGTTACCTATTCAATGAATCCTTTCGGAGGATCTCTTGTGCTATTCTTGATTTTTAATCTAAATCATGCTACGGGGGACACAAAAAAAAACCTTTTTAGTAAACTGTTTATAGTAAGTTGACAAATTCTCTAGATCAAGGATTTCATGCACAACCTGGAAGTTTGCTTGCAAATAGAGATTAAATAACTAAAAGAAAGATTCGTTCGATAGAAACGAATCGATTCCTGAAATGCCTTTTTAGTAAAGATTGGATGCAGTTACTAATTCATGATCTAGCAAGTGCATAATGAAAACTTTATTTCTGGCTCTACAAGAATTCTTATGAAAGTGTTTCATTTGCTTCTCAAACCAAATCGTTAAATTAGCTTCAGATGAATTATTTTGGAATTCAAGATATGAACATTAGATTGGCAACTCTTAAAATATAAATCTTAAATATTCTAAATCAAACAAATTTGATAAAGACAATAATGTTGCTTCTGGTAGGCCATAATTTTGCCAATCTTATGACAGAAACTACAATAAATTAAACTCAACCTGAATTATCCATAAAAACTCTCAATTATCCATAAATCTAAGGTAAACCAAGCATATATACATTGACCAATTCCCAAATTCACAGAGTAAACTACCCAATTCAGTCTTTCATCTGAAATCATCAATACCATATGGCAATATCTGACTACATTAGCCAATATATGTGGCTTAGTTATATAAATCAATTGCAAACTCTAGCAATCAAATTCACCGAATAGACCAATATCAGATGAACAATCCCTGTACACCTATAACATAGTAAACAGAGGCAATAAGCTTACCACATTCAATCAGATAATAAAAACTAAATGAACTCACTAACTTCCCTGGTCAAAAAAGTAAATAGCTTATTTGTTGTATTTTATTCTTAGTTGAAAAGTCTTTCATGAAAAAAAATTAATTGCATTTTTCCCCTTGGTTAAAAAGAGAATTTTCAGTTAATTTCTTCAAGGTTCCAGGCTGATTCAGCGATCAGCCATTCAAGATTTCAAAACTGATCATATCAATTTTGCCCATAATTTCTATCCCATTACCAGTACAATTCTATGTGTGCAAGCTCTGCTATGGACTACACTTAAATCAAATGTTAAGTATAAGAAAACTTTGTTGCGGTTAAGAGCTCTCAAGCCAGATTACAGATATAGTGAATAACATATTTCAATTAGTCTAACATAAAGAAATTTACAGCATGGAGGGAAGAGCATCTTAAAACAAGTATCAGAACACTAACATATAGCTTCCCTCGTTCATCTTCGTTCAGCTTCTCCTCCTAGTGACTCTTTGAAACATATTCTTTATATTCTGAGAGTCGGTTTCAGCTTTCAGCTTTTTGGTTTGTTTTGCATTACTTGATTTTTTCTTTGCAGTATCGACTTTTCCCTAGAAAAAAAGGTAGGTTTTGGACAAGGTTATAAGTAAATGATCTAAGTAGAAGATTTAATTATTGTATTGAAATCATAGCAACTTACTGAAAGAGGACGAGAGGGCATTGGAGTGTCCTCTAGGAAACCTGGTTCTTTTTCGTTCCTGGGAGTATTTTGAAGAGCTTCCTGCCAGTTCAACCTGCAGGGGAACGGCAATTTCAAACAGTTTATTTTTCCCTCCAAGAAGTTCAGAAGATTAGCGATTGAAAAATATTAGTAGTATCCAATTTGAACTGCTACATATACTTTTGCTTACAAATATGAGTTTAAATCGTTGACTTACTTTAAATGGCTGCATAAGAGGGTCAACCATGGCTCATCCTTCAGGTATTCGCCCAATATTGAGACAATTTCTTTTACTGTAAGACCACATAACAAAACAAAATTGATTATAGAGGTAAAATCTTGAAGTAGTTAGTCCATGGTATGACCTTCATTTACAAGATATCAAAAGACTCAGAATTTTCACGCAGTTTGCTCGATTTTCCTATCAAGAATTTCGCAATCATGCAACCATCACAGCAAGTGCTCACAAGTCATAACCAAACAAAACGCAAACATAAATGGCATTATATATAGTTAATAACTTAATATTCTAGTAACTGTATTAGGGAATTGCAACTTAAACATAAATGGCATTATATATAGTTAATAACTTAATATTCTAGTAACTGTATTAGGGAATTGCAACTTTGCTTGAGTAATATTATTTTTTTAGTTAATAACTTAATATTCTAGTAACTGTATTAGGGAATTGCAACTTTGCTTGAGTAATATTATTTTTTTACTTGAGGGTTCGACTGTAAAATCAATTTGCATACTCATGAATTTTTGTGGGGCATTATATTCCCTCATCATAATAAGTTTGTAAAAATGTTCTGTCCAATTAAGAAGCAACAAGCCTAGAAATGTGGAGTTTTGGCTCATTCTAATTCAAACGTCAACAAAGTCATGTTCACGCATATGAAATAAGTATAAATTACTTTATGTGATCATGTTCGCAAGGGATTAATCAAGTGGTGTTCTTGGTCATCTAAAGTACAAGACGTTCACTAGTAAACATATATAGGTACCAACAATAAAGAAAAAGGAATACTCATATAGGTTGCGGTACCATACAAGTTTCCCTTTCATCTTGAATGGCATAATTTTTGTCCAGTTTTGCCAGTGACGCTTTTAAGTGGACTACCTGCAAAGAGATAAAAGAAGAGTTAACTAAAGACATATGTTCATAATAATGTTGACTCGCTTTTTTTAAACTGCTCAATAGAGGACAACTTTATTTTTGACCAGAAGTCAATTTAACATCAGTTGCCTTAATTGGTATTTAATTCCTGATTCAGGAAAAGACTCACAAGAGACAGGCAAGCCACAATACATTGCCAGTTAATTGGCAGACCTCACAGCATGCCACAAAAGAGCAACTGACAAGAAATCTCACAGACTACGGAAGAGTCTATTGATGCTAAATTTGCTATAGAGAAGTGCATGAACCTCTGAGGCTTCTCTTGCCACAAAGAGCCAAGAGAACACATTCCTATTACTCACTACCATTATTATGTACATCATAATCAAATATGAATTAATAGGTGCACCTTACAGCATAGCCATGATAAAACCTTTGAGTCATCAAGCCTGAAGAACTTTGATGAACCAACCTCTGCAAATTAAGGTTGGGGAAAACATGTAGTTAGCATCCGGGGGAAAAACATATAACTCCCTGTAATGAAGAACCCAGGTACTTCTTAAAATACTCAACTGAAGTAAGGAAAGAACAAGAAAAAACACTTCACTTGACTATATGTGTTCTCTTAGATGATCGTGTTAAATTATGGCTCCATATATTTAACAGAAAATATATATATTACTATTTACTAACAAGAATTATAAGAATAAACAGATAAATATCCACCCTTAGTTATGTAAGATAAGCTCATTTCGGGGATGGATAAATGCCAACGTTATACAAAAACCATGTACATTCTGAACTTATGACATAATTTTCGTATTGGGATGCAGTTCCTTTTGTTTACTACTTCCTAGTGTAGGAAGCACAAATTTTCACTGCCAGCGTAATGGCATAGAACTAGCACACATGAGACGAGGATTTAATTGTGACCACTAAAATGTGTTGCTTAGGAGATGTGGGGACCTCATGAACCCAACACAAGGGTGTCAAAATTGAATAAAGGAAAGAGGACTATTTTCACTCGCTGCTTGCTTGTTCATTTCCATAACAAAACCATAGCAGTCCATTTGTAATTATGTTATCTGATTCTTATTTCTACTAACATTTAAACGAGAACCTAGTTTATAGGGTAAAGATTATCATGACGACACATCCAAGTAAACAAGTCTACACATTTGCAAATGCCCAAAATTTCCACGAGGATCCTAATATTAGAGGTGATATAAAATTGTTTACTATGTTCCGTAACAAGTCCGGTTGCCCTAACAAAATAAAAGAAAACAACATATTCCATACATATAGATTCACCTTGTTTAGATGTTAAAGTTGAGATCACTTCCCTAATAGCTTAAGCTAAATATTCTATATGTACATCTGTATCCGTCGGTATGATGAGGACAAAACAAAGAACATTGTTAGAATCATCTTTCGAGCAAGTCGCAGTAGCTTTTTTATGTTTTGGCTTTAGATGTTGATCCAAGTCCTCAAGGGTTAAGAATTAAACACAAACAAAGAACATTGTTAGAATCATCTTTCCAGCAGATACATGGGTAAGTTCCCACATACAAGAAAGTGATCGCCGGTTTTGCAGTGTATATCATTATCTTTGAAGTTAACCCAAAAAGGAAAAACAACACGCTAAATTATTCATCAAACAACATACGTTAAAAAGGAATATTTAGCATTATAAGAAATAAAAAATTGTTCATGAAGACTATTACCTTTCACTTCACAAACCAAATGCATTGAGTCCTCTGCCATGGACATCAGGCGTCGATAGCCAGGATATCCTTCGATGTATAGGATTTCATCTAATTGCCTAAAAACCCCTAGATCAGTTCCCCTCTGCATTTTAAAAAGTATCGATGTATAGGATTTCATCTAATTGCCTAAAAACCCCTAGATCAGTTCCCCTCTGCATTTTAAAAAGTATGGTTGAAAGTGATGAAGGAGAAAACCCTAAAAACCCCTAGATCAGTTCCCCTCTGCATTTTAAAAAGTATGGTTGAAAGTGATGAAGGAGAAAACAGTGGTTATATATGTAAAAAAGAGGTTCTGAATTCTGATGACAAATTATATAATCCTGACAATCAAACTCATATAACATGAAATTGCTAGAGAGCATCACACAAAATAACAGAAACTGGTGTGCAACGAAAGTGATACAGCAAGGTGCCATGAATATGGTTCAGCTGCAACCAGAATATTCGGCAGTAATGTTAACAAAAGGTCGCGAAATAATAGAGCCTTTACCCTTTACATGACCAAAAAGAGAATTAATAAAGATGACATTTGGCCAAATTTAGGACATGGGATTTAATCTAAACGCCATAAACATCATTTAAGAATGCAGAAGTTTCTAATAAAACAAACCAAGCATGCTTGCAATAGAACCAAGATGGCTAGCTGAGCGTCTCTTGAATTTTACCTTCATACGAGCGTCAGCGAAAATTGGTAAGAGGATGAAAATAGGATCAACAGGAGTGCTAATATACAGGCTGCCATCTGTAATACGAGAAAACCAGGGGAAAAGGACAATCACATTAGACCAACTTCTCGACTGCCTAACTGACATTTATATGCTAAATTACAGAAATATATTATATTAGCAGATATTTCTGAGGGATAAACCTCTTGGTGTTCAACTTCTTTGGGAAAAGAACATTACAGTGGTACTGACCACCTAGAATTGCATGTCTAATTGTAAATTGTAATATATTTCATATAGAAGTAGTAAATGTAGACAACATTCACCACAATACACAAGAAAGAATATAGTTTCTCTTCGCACCTTTCTTTGGAGATGATTCGACAGTGTTGGCTGAGATTTGAAACAGTCTTGCCTAGCCATGAAATAAGAGTTCTAAATAACTGTATTCATTAAGTATCCTAAACTATTAATATGGAAATGCTTATGTTGCTACTATTGTTTATTTAACATAGTGAATATATTGAGTTATATCTTTTATTTTAAATTAAGATATATGCATAATAGTATTGATGTTAAAATTAAGAAACTTTGTTGGTCTATCCGGACTTTTAAAATGCTCCAAGCTCCTGCCCACCATCCCACTGACAGACGTCAGACCACTTGACACAAAGATGAAGGTGCATAACCTGTAATATCCAAATCTTTGTTTCAAGTTTCAACAATCAGGAACCCAGACCCTTGCAAAGTGTTAGATAGATGACAGCATCCAATACGTTTTTTCCCATGATTTTCAGACGTGGACTGTTTAGGATCCTATTTAGAGAGCAAGGTGGTTTATGCGTCGTAGACCAACACTCAGTCCCATTGGATGGGGGCAAATGATGCGTAGATGTCATATTATCCTTAAAAAAAAGTAGGAAAAAAATCACATTGAATGGTTTCGAATTTAAATCGAATATTAGTCCACCAGAATTTTAAGGTAGCTCAGTGAAGGTCTGCCTTCTATTTATGTTAATTCATTCTTATATGAGAACCGATCACAGTTCATTAACCCAACTGCTCGTGTACTGTGACTATTCTGGAGGTTTTTAAAACTTTATTGGAGATTTACTGTTAAAACTTTATTGGAGATTTACTATGGATTTCAGTATGGTGTACTTCACAGTGACTTCTTCCTTCACATTCACTCTCTTAAGCGCAACGGCTAGCTTTGAAGGGTGTCTCCCCAATTAACCATGATTTTCTCTTTACTTGTCCCTTAGCTACTCAAGAAACAATAGTAGCCAAAAAAAGGACCTACCCAACTGTAAAGAGAAAAAAAGAACTACACGGATTTCCATATCCTCATTAAATGTCCGGAAAAAAATGATTTTGAGGTTACAAATTTAGCTTCATAACGAAGAATCAACAGCTATATAGTCCTCAGTTAAAAGAATGAGCTTCCATGAAACTTCTAGCGTGAAACATCATTGTTACTTCCTCTCTTTTTTTTTCTTTTTCTTTTGACAATATTTAGCTTCTGATGTGAAATAAATAAATGTATATCCGCAGAAAATTAAGTTGAAAGAACACTTACCTTCACAAACATAATCACCTAAAAACCAAGAGCCATACGACTGCTTAAACCAGTGCAGCTCCTGAAGCAACCCATTTTTGAAGGCATAAGATGCCGAGGCGTCTGTAAATTCAGACAGATATTAGAAACATCCGCAGAGTTACATACTATCTTTTTGTCCCATACTGTAAAAATTCGCACTATATTACAAACTCGCAAACTAATTTAAGACGAAAGCAACATATTGAACATAAAAAGGTTTAACGAACCCGATTTTGGATGGCGCAGAGATATTATGTTTTCGACATTTGCAGCCGCGGTTTTATCATCCCCATCATTTATAGATTCCACTGCAAGAAGAATGATATATTGATCATTAACTACTAGTTGCAGAAAGGCACCTTAAGAATTTGGAATTTACAGGTTTAGCCATTTGGTTTGCCTTTGCTGATGTAAATCTTGCTCGTCATCTGTCGAAAATAGAAGTAATGAGAAGTTGGAATGCGGTGTAGTGCGATCCAAGGCAGCGATCCTGCACAGGAATTTCGAAAAGAGATGATGATATCACAAAATTTCTCGTCTTAAACAAACAAAAAAACTAGAGATTCGAAAGGATTGGGGAGAAAAAAGAAACAAGGGGGGAAATGGGGAGAGATTTGTGAGTAGAAGTTATGAAATCGATGGTTACCTCTCGCCGGAGAAATTGGGGTCGGCCTCGGCGGCGGCTTCGCGATGAGTTTCGAAGAAAAAGGCGGGTTTTTTTGGCGAGAGAATGAATTAGGGCTTCGCGGGAACCCTTACACCGAACGGCCTACACGAAAATGCATGCTTAAATGGGCCCTGAGCGGGCCTCCAATGCGTCTGAATTAGGCTCTACATCTGAGTTGACGTGGCTACAGATACGGACATATAAAGTGAAATATTCTGATTTGCATCTAAAATATCTAACTATATGTTGAATATATTACTAACTCCATGCGTGCGTGGCCTGTCCATCCGGGCCGGCCCGGAAATCCGGGCCCGGGCCGGGCAAAACCGGAGCCCAGACCCGGACCCGGGTACCCCAGGTCCGGGCCCGGGCCCGACCGGGCCGGGTTCCGGGCCGGCCCGGTTTTTTAAAAATTCTATTTAAAATTTAAATTATATAAAAAAGATAAAAAAATTAATAAAAAACAATAATTTTATTAATCACTTAAAAGACATAAATTATAAATAAAAAATTATAAAAATAAATTCTTTATTAATAATTAATAAATCATTTACAAATCTACCAAGTATAAATTTATTTTGAGAATTCATCGCCATCACAATAGATAAATACATCCCAACTAGGTTTTTTTAAATTTCTTTTCTTTTCTTTTTTTTGATAAAAAATTGCCTTAAAATTAGTTTCATATTATTATATTTTTATATAATTATGTATTAGTATATACTTACAAATTTTTATGTAACTATATATTATATATACATATATTTATATGTAAATATATTTGTATATATTTATAAGTTTATAACTTGAGAGAGAAAGAATCGCATAAGTAGCCGTTTGCCCGTTGGGCCCAATGGGGAAGAAGTAGCGTTGTAATATACTATACTTATATATACTTATATATTACTAAGAGAGAGGGTATACACACACACATATATACATATATAAGAGAGAGTATACTTTATATAAGAGGCAGTATACATATATAAGAGAGAGTATACTTATATATACTAAGAGGAGAAAGTATATTAGTATATATATATATACACACACATATATATAATATATTATACATATATAAGAGAGTGTATACTTATATATACTTATATAAGAGAGAGTACTACATATATTAGAGAGGAGTATACTTATATATACATATATACTAAGAGAGGAAGAGTATATACATACATACATTACATACATTATACATATTATAAGAGAGAGTATTCTTGTATATACTTATATAAGAGAAAGTATACTTATATATACTTATACATATATATACTTATATAAGAGAGAGTATACTTATATATACTTATTATTACTAAGAGAGAGTATATATATACACACATATGACATATTATACATATATAGATAATATAGTACTATATACATATTTATACATATATAAAAAATATATTATATATATACATATATCTATATATATTATATAATACAATATAATACATATAAAAAAAATTCACTATTCCGACGGCCTGACGCGGCCACCAAAAAGCCGCGCCCGGCGGCCGGCGGGCTTTTGGTCACACCCCCTACGCTGCCGCTCCGCCGCCCGAGAATTATTTATCGAGATATATTTGTTATTAATTTTATAATATAATTTTTATATATAACTATTTATAAAAAATTTAGGAACAAATTTTTTACCGTTATTTATAGGGTGAATCTTCAAACTAGTCAGCAAAATAATATACTAATTAGCAAGGTTTATCAAAATTTTTTAATAGAGCTAGCAAAGTTTTACATTTATGAAATATCTGATAAATGTTCAAATCATCATCTGCAACAAGGGAAAAAAAGTTATGAATTGTGTTTTCAATGAGGAAAAGTTATTGTAGCATGAATATTGATTCTAAGGTTTTGCTTTTAAGTTAGAAAAATAGTAGATGCAATTGCAATTATTTTGGAACTAATTTTAGCTTATTATATAAAGTAAACATATTAATCAACCCTCTTGTGTCCTTTTTTTCAGAATAAACTCTCTTGCCTCTAAAAATTTTCACTGCTATCTATTTTTCATATTCACTTTGCATTTCGACATAAAATGGTCACTAAGAATTACAGTAAATTGTTTAAGTATACAAACAAGCTTTGAACCCAATAGAAGCATAAATGTTATACATTAGAATTCCTGTAGACCATCCTTATGGGAATTGGATGCTTTATACCATTGAATGGTCACAATTATGAATCGAACTCTCTAACTATCGTGTATGGTATGAATCAACCAATTATACAGGGTGTTCTCGTAAAATAAGGTGAACTACATCACTCGCGGATGGTTAGATAGCTAGTTTGGGAATCAAATACATTTTATCTAGGATTTAGATCATCTCCAATTAGATGGTAATTAGAGAGTCTCTAACCATTACCTTACAATCAAAATTCAATGGATGAGTTAAACTATGTAGGATTCCACTACTATGCTAGTGGTTTTTAAAAAGATACTGGTTTTTGAAAAACAGTAGTTTTCAAGATCATAGTGTTTTTATCCCGTGGACTAATTTTTTCTATTGAATTTGGAAAGTACGATAATAATTGGAGGAATTAGAGACTTTCCAATTACCACCTAATTGGAGAGCATCTGAATACATTTATCTATTATGTAATTAATGTCACTCGTATAGAAACGGTTCTGATAGGAATCCTGCTAAATGCTACCCATGAACCATTCTTTATGACTTATCACCCCCATTGTAAACCACCAAGTAAAATTTAGGCTTATCCGCACCTTGTTAGACCAAACTTTCATCAATTTTGAACTTTGACCTCTGAAGTGCGTTTTTTTCCTTTTTCATTTGACACTTTGTCAAATGAGCTCTATCCACATTCAGTGAACTTTGGTACCTACTCATCTTTTCGCTTAAAATTTATAATTAAAAAAAAAAGCATACAAAGTTTAGGGATACCAAAATTTAAGGGCATCAACCGTGCAGAAATACTTTTGGGGTACCAAATTTCAAAATGGACAATGATAATCATATTTTTATTACAATTTTATATCCTTATTATCTATTTTACATTAATAAATATACCATTAATAATAGTTGTTAGATTAGTTTGCACATAAATGAATGGAAATATAAATAAATATTATTAAATGTAAAAACCCCTTAAAAATCTCTCTTCTCTATTTTGCAGCATTTTAGAAGCCATGATTGAAAGGATGGAAGCCCAAAGAGCATCAAGCAAATGATGGCCCAAAGGAAAAAGAAAAGAAACAAAATTCTTAATCCACAAGACATCATGTTTTAATGCACAGCACAAAGCCCATCAAACAAAAAAGAGATTATACACCCATAAACATTGAGGACCGGACTTTGCTGCAGAGTTTAATGTTGAAAATAACATGATGGGCCGGACTTTGATGCAGATTTCCATTTGACACTGGGCCGCTGCAGATTTGGATGATGGACCGGACTTGGCTTGGTTTTGAAATCATCTTGTGCAGATAAAGGAATGGGCTGTGGACCGAACTTGATTTAACTTTGAAAATCATATGTAAATGGGCCTCCTATGTTGGGCTAGAGAAAAACAAAAAGCAAATTCAAAGGTGGAGATTGCTTTGCTTGGGGCTCAAGACAAATCCAATGGCTCATATTCATTGATGATTACTATAAATAGGGGGTAGAGAGTGAGGGGTTAAGGGGGTAAAAAATTTTATAACTCCTTTTAGAAAGGAGGGCTACTCTTAATTGAGAAGGCCTTCCAAACATTGTAACTTTAGTTGCAATTAATAATAGTAATTTTTCTCCTCTTTAAATTTGTTCTTTCTCATCTTTGTTGAATGATGAGGATGGAGATGAAGAGCAATTTGAATGTTTGCATTTCTTTTCACTTTTATTTCTTTTTAGTAATTTCTTTATTATTGCTTATTAGTTAGATTTAAATTCATGCTTGTAGCGTAGATTTATTTTTTTATTTTTTTTATTTCTTTTTGCACTTTAATTTGTAAAGTTGATTTATTTTTCTTGCATTTAATTTCTGCAATTTATTTTGTAGTTTAGATTTTTATTTTCTTTGTAATTAGATTTATTTCTTGTTCATAGTTTAGATTTTTCTTTTTAATTTTGTAATTAGTCTTCTTTTTCTTGTTTTTATTTCTTAAGATGTGAATTTAATTCTTGTAGGAATCTTAGAATTGTATGGAACTAGTCTAATTTTCTTTATATTGTATGGATTATTCTCTTGCACTTAAAATGTTCATGTTTAGGATAATCAACTAAAGAACTAATCGGTAGAAGAAGAAAAATGTTCATGTTTAGGATAATCAACTAAAGAACTAATCGGTAGAAGAAGAATTTGATAATCTATGCTTATCTTAAATGGTTTGATAGGTTATGCTTATGAATTCTAGGATTATTATCATGTTGTTGTTCTTATCATGAATAGTAATTTTGACTTAGATGATAATTTGATAGGTTACGCTTTCCTTAAATGGTTTGATAATCTATGCTTAATAAATCTAAGTTGAAATATGATAAAAAAAGAATAGTTTGTATTTTGTAATTAAAATTGGTTAGTGGATTATATTCTAGATCTCTTACCTTTTTTGAATCCTCCATCTTGACTTTCTTAAATTTTCTTTTCATTCTTGGTTTTATTTCTTGATTTTATTCATTTAGCTTTCTTGCCTTGTGATTTCATTTATTCTTTGATTCTTTCTTCTCTCCTCTAAAATTCAATTTATTATCTTTTGCATATATTCACAACAATCACACATCACAATCACACTTATTCTTTATTCCTAATTGTCACGCACAAAACATAAGAATCATTTCTAATAATCTCTTAAAATCACCTTTCTCGTGGGATCGATATTCTTATACTATAACTTGATCAATTGTGCACTTGCAATTTTGGTACATAATTATGCCGCATCAGACAACTTCCAATGTACGCCATAAGGCCTAAATCTTAATCAGCCTCGGTTTCCTTCCGTTAGGGTCTGTTTGGTTATTTCCTAAAAATCAAGAAATGAAAATGAAAAAGTAGAAATCTTAAAAAGTATAATTTCATCCATTTACATCTCTAAAACTCCACCCACAACATCTAAAAAAATATTATTTTCATCCAACAACTCATTCACAACATCTAATAAAAAAATATTTTCATCCAACAACTCATTCACCACATCTAATAAAATATTATTTTTATCCACAACATCACTCAACTCATCTCATCTCATCATTTCAAATAAATATTATTTTTATCCACAACATCACTCAACTCATCTCATCTCATCATTTCAAATCACTCACATCATCCAATAAGATGGTGAATCATTTCAAATCACTCACATCATCCAATAAGATGGTGACAACTCATCTCATCTCATTAACATTTCATTCTCACCCATTTTCTCCCAAAAAGCTAGGAAAACGATTTCCTTAAGTGTGGATCACATCAGATAACTCATCTCATCTCATCTATTTTCTTATTTTTAAGAATGAACCAAACAAAAAGAAAATAACATATTACAAGAAATATGTTTCATATAATTCATTTCTTTATTTTTTTTCACCAACCAAACAACATCAAAACAATTTTTCTTAAAAAAACACTCACATCATCCTATAATAAGGTGACAGCTAACATCATCTCATCTCCATTTTCTTTAATTTCCTTTTTTTAAGCTAACCAAAAATTTACAAAATAATTTTTCTTAGATATAGTTTTCCATTTATTTGATTTCCCTCTTTTTTTAGGCAAACAAACCACCCCTAAAAAAGAATAGGCTCCAAACTAGTGGGGTCCATTCTAGTGCTCTGGCCCACATGTCAGTTGGGCGAGAAACCAGCAACATTCTCTCGAGTTAGCCCGTTAAAAATACCTTCGTCGAAAAGACTCAGCCATCTCCAAATATCTCTCGAAACATTGAAAATATCAGCCCCGAAAATTTGCAGTCAGCAAGCGTCTCAGTCCCCTCAAAGTTCTCGCACAAATCGTAGATTCATTCAAACTCTAGAATCAGAGAGGAGATTTGAGATCTAATCGAGCAATCTCTGAAGGTCAGTAAGTCTCTATCTCTTCCCCTTGAATTTTGATTATTTTTCTTGATTTTTCCTCTTGTATTTGGCGGTGTTCATAGATTAGGATCCACAAGTATCTAATTGGGTTAGGTTCAGCTAAATCCGAAGCTCCTGTAAAAAAATCTCAATTTTTAGTCCAATGGCGAATCAATCACTCTGCAGATTATATACCTTATTTCGATTGAATCAAGAGCTGTAAGATTTAACATACCAAATAATATAATTCTCAGTAAATTTATAGCACTAGAAAATGACAATTAAGAAGCTTACCTGATCATATTGTTTTTTAAACATCATTAATTCATTATTTATCGAAGAATACATCTGGTTGTTTTTTCTTGTTATTTTTCGATTTTGGAGCTGTGCAACAAAATTTAAATTTTGTTTGGATATATTTGAAGAAGAAATTTTCTAAATAAACCCATTCATATTTTTTTCTAAAAATAGACCCCCTTGAGTTTTATTTACAAAAATAAACTCATTTTATCTTAATCCGGTTCCTAAATAGTCGGGGTTGCCAACCCCGACTATTTAGGAGGTTGTAAACCCTCAATTATAACCAGAGCCGGCTCTGAAGGAGCGCAGCATGATCGGTTGCACAGGGCCCCCAATCTTGGGGGGCCCCCAAATTTTTTTCCTTTATATTTATATATATAGGGAGAGTAAATTTAGACCGTTTATTTCATACAACCCTTAATCTCAACCGTCCGTCAAAAACCCTACTTTAAAAACACAGCCGACCTTCTCAAAAAGATCCAGATCTGGCCGCCCCCTTCTGAGTTCTGAGCCCTCTCCTCTGGTCCGCACTCCGCACCTGTCGCCGTCGGTCACTCGGTCTGTCGCCGTCAGATTCTCCATCGCTGACCGCCCAGGCCCAAAAATCGACTTCAGGGATCGCTGTCCTCCCCCGCTGAGCTCCGATTCGAAGCTCCGATGAGCTTGCCGTCGCTGCCCCCGCTGGCCGCTGTCAAGTTCGCCGGACTTCATCAGGTTGTATTGTTCCAACTTCCAAATCTTTGACTACTTTCAATTTGATTGTAATCAGTAATACTTTATTATAGATATAGAAATGCCTCCAAGAAAATATCCTTCTGGATATGATAAACGCAAGAAAAAAAGAAAAATTGAACAATTTGTCCAAACTCAAAGTGGAGCGCTTGATAAATTTATTGTTAGAGAAACACAAGATTTAGTTGAAAATGATAACATTAATGATTTGGGCTTGAATGAGTATGAGAATGAAAATGTTGATGATCAAAGTAAAAATGAAATTGATAAAGAAAATGAGAATCATAATGAAAATAAAGATGAGAATGAAAATGAGAATCATAATGAAAATGAAAATGATAAAGAAAATGAGAATCATAATGAGAATGAAAATGAGAATCATAATGAAAATGAAAATGAGAATGAAAATGAGAATCATAATGAAAATGAAAATGAAAATATTTTAGGCAATGAATTTGATAATCAATCCATGCTCATGAATTTAAATATTTATGATCCAAGAACTTGGGATAATTTGGACACAAAATCTAGAGATATATTAGTGAAAAATGGCCCTATAAGAGATCTATTAGTTGAAAAAGGTCCTAAAGATAAATTAGGAAGATGTTTTTCTTCGGCATTTTACACTAGACATTTATCAAATGGAGAGAAATGTGATAGGGAATGGTTAGTTTATTCAAAGGATATCGATAAAGTATTCTGTTTTTGTTTTGGAGAACATATCCTCAGCTTATTTATAGTTGGGAGGGCAAGAAGGTAATGTCATTAAGGAGATATTTTATTTTATTTTCTTTCTCATTCTTTTTCTTCTAGAATATTCCATATCATATCTTCATGTGTATATGAAAGAACTAACATTGACCTGTATTTATATTATGATAGGAACAAAAATGATAAGTTTGTTTTAGAAAAATAAAAAGTGATAGAAGAAAGTGGACAGGAATAGTGTTTTTTTTCTTAAAACAACAATTATATATCATCACACACATCCTCTCTTCATATATTTTGAGAATCAAATGCACACTTTCTTTACATATAAATATATAAAATATTTTTAAAACTTTTTCATATCATGTGCAATTTTACATGTTAAATTTCTAGTACTATTTAATATTTTAGTGTCTTAAATAGCATTTAAATATAACTTTTTTTTGCTAAATGTTACTGATATCTAACTTTTATCAGTGAAAATTGCCTCTTTGTCCTTCCTTTTCTTCCTCTTCACAAACGTTAGTGTTTAGAAGTAACAATTGAGCAAAAAAAGTAATGGAAATGAGTGAATGAGTCTTCTTCATCCTTTCAATCAAGGGAAATTCAACAACTTCATCCATTACAAGTGCGCAAGGTATCTTATTACGCTGTTAACTATGAAGCTTCATGAATTCTATTCAAGAAATGAGAACATGCATTTAATCAGATCAAGTGCATGTTCTCATTTCTTGAATAAGAGAAGCAATACTTCAGTTAGCATAAACTGATAATGACTCCAAAATAAGGAGTGAAGCAGATTCTTTAGCAACACATGGAATTGGAAATTTTGAATTTTTATTAAGTATGATTATTTGGTATGATATATTGTTTGCTGTTAACTTAATTAGCAAATATTTACAATCTAAAGACATGCTTATTGATATTGCTATAGATCAAGTAAAAGGATTGATTAGATTTTTTGAGGAGTATAGAGAAGTTGGGTTCACACAAGCTATGACAATTGCTAAAGAAATTGCTACTGAAATGGAAATTGATTCTGTATTTCAAGTAAAACGTCAAATCCGTAGAAAAAGACAATTTGATGAGAATGTTAATGAGGAGACAACACAATCAGCTGAAGAATCTTTTAGAATCAATTATTTTTTGTGTATTATAGATCAAGCTATTGGTTCACTAAAGAAAAGGTTTGAGCAATATAAAGTATATGAAGATATTTTTGGATTTTTGTTTGGTTCAGAAAAGTTAAACTCATTAGATGATAATAATTTGAAAGCATGTTGTGATAATCTTGAAATTGTTCTAAAATATAAAACATTTTCTGATCTTGATGGGAAAGATTTATATGGAGAACTAAAAATCTTACGATATATTTTACCAAAAGAAACAAAGATGGCTATTGATATACTGAATTTCTTAAAAATACGAAATTGTTTTCCAAATGCATGTATTGCTTATAGAATATTATTGACTATACCTGTTACAGTCGCATCTGCAGAAAGAAGTTTTTCAAAATTAAAATTATTAAAATCTTATTTGAGATCGACCATGTCACAAGAAAGACTGAATGGACTAGCTTTGATATCTATTGAAAATGATTTTATAGATAAAATTGATGTTAAGGGCTTAATTAGTGATTTTGCAGCTAAAAATGCAAGGAGGACAATTTTTCGATGATACTTTTTTATGCTAAAGGCTTCGATATCTCTTATGAAGGTAAGCACAGATACAAGATGAACATAATATGCAAGTATTTCTTATTGAATCCTTTAGTCTCCTGGTTTATGCTAAAAATAAGTGTGGCGTTTTATTTTTGATTAGTTAGCTTTGAACTTTTTAAATTCATTTGCAGAACTGCTATAAGATTACGAAGGAACCCTAAGGACACTGAAGACTTAACTGCTGTAAATGAGCTTGCTAGAGATATTGACAATACTGTCCATTCTGGTGAGTTTTATGCGTACATTCTCGTGTATCCATGACCACATGATGGTAACGCTATTATAGAGAGACTACATTAATAATTTCAGGTCTCTGGGACATAGTAAAAAATTGCACATATATTGGACTTGCGGATGAAACTTTTGCGTTGCTTCAGTACAATACCCATCTTTATCTTATGAATGTGGTGAAAGTCAGGTATGCATTTTATTTTCCATTAAATGCAAACTTAGTGTTTTTGCTGACTTAGTAGTACCACTAAGTTATGTTCAATGAAGGGCTTTATTTTATTCTGAAATAGATATGTCCAATGAAATATTTCCTACCTAATTTGAATATTGTTGTGTATTCATTCAAATAATTGGTAACTTCTTCCTCACGACACCCTGTTTAGACATTGATAGAGAGTGTATCTTAGTTTCTACTTCCTCTAAAAAAGTAAGGGTGACTTCTGAAGTTTATCTCTCCATTTCACTGTTTCTTGTACATGATTTTCACTTTCACTTTCACTTTCACTTTGTATATAGAGAAAGGCCCTGTGTTTACTTTTCGCACAGGGCCCCTAAAATCTCAGATCCGGCCCTGATTATAACCCTAAAGCCTAACATTCTATGCACTAAATGAGTCGATTTTTGTAAAAAAAAACTCAAGGGGGTCTATTTTTAGAAAAAAAATTATGAATGAGTTTGTTTAGAAAATTTCTTCTATATTTTAATGTAGGGTCGCTATTTTTAATGAATCTAGAAGGAAAATACTTGCTTGTGTACTAGTGTTGCACTAGTTTGCTACCAGTAGACATCTATGCGCGGGGATCCATCTCATGAGTTGCTTATACGCTCCATATATCAATATTACAGTAGTACCAAAATGCGCCATAAGCATTAAACTAAAAGCTAGTTTTTAAGAAAAGGGAAAAATGAAGCTATTATCTGTGTAGCTACTCATTGGCTTGTGAGAGAAAGAAACACGACAAGCTTTTTTATCCAGCTACTTTTGTTTACTATGATAGAATCCATTATTAAGAAAGCAAAACAAATTAATATTATTCATGTTTGATTAGTTTAATATTCATTATGGTATGTTTTTTGAGCAAATCGCTGTGTGACTTCACGTGCAATGTAGGTTTTTTTGGCTGCTGGCTTGGCAGAGTGCTGATGACGTGCATAACTTAGGGTTCTTGGTTGGATTCATTTAAAATTGAAATGATTCAAATCGGGGCTGAAAATGAATTTGGGAGAAAAAGTAGGGTTCTTGGTTGATAGGGGAAATTTGGGTTTTAATTGGGGCTGAAATTTTGGGAAAATATGGCTTTTGGTTTTCAATTGGAGTTTTAGGGTTAGCTAAGAATCTCATCTAGCCCTCTGCAACATAATCAAAGCTCTGCCACATCACTGTATTTAATCGTTTAAACTGGATCACGTCAGGCACGTGCGTGAGGATCTGGCGCGTAAATCTCATTGGCGATGACTGATTTTACCTTAATGGCAAAACTAAATAAGTATTAATATCTTATTGTTGCCGGTGCAACTAAATATGCCTTATTAGTAAATAATTGCAATTAAATATATTAATCTTGTAATTTAGCCAAAAAAGGGTCAATTTAATATTGAATGTGTTATGTTATGTGCAAGTACGGATCTATGAAGAAGAGTGTGGGGCACATGTCCTCATACAACTATGTAATTTTTGTTGAAGGGTTAGGGTTGACATATTTATATAGGTGCCCCACACAATTTGTACAGGTGCCCCCAATAAAGTTGTAACCTATACAATTGTGAAACTTATTGTTGGGAGGACGTCTAGTAGCATTTTGTTAGTTTTGTGATGACAATGAAAATAATCATGTATTTGATGTAAAAATGGTAATGAAATGTTGTGTTTAGATCTTCGGGATTATTGTATCAATAAAATTTTCTATTGGTAAAAATATATATTGTATAAATTATTTAATTTATGCGTATAATTGTAAATGTGCTCCCACAAAATAAATTCTGGATCCATCCCTAGTTACACGTCACTTCTTTTTACATATTTACCGATAGATTTTCAATTCAACTCGATGGCAAATCCATGTCATATAGTACAGAATGCTAGAAGTGTTCCCCGCTTTAACCACCATACTTTGATGCTATAAATAACTATTAGAAAAGATACCAACCAAGTGTCTAAGTGACTGCTAGACAATTCTTTATCAGTTGGTTTGAGTTAACCTGAGTAATCTCTCCATCGTTTCATATTATGCAAATTGGAGCAGTGTTCTTCTGTTCTGCACACACCGATATTAATTACCATACCTCTACTTTCTTGTTATAGACAATTTCTGTTTGTTTACTTATAGTACTTACTGGATGCGTTTTATGTTGAGAATTTTTGCTGTTGTAGTTCATATTCATGTTATTCCTGTTGTGTGACTGCTATTAACTTATAAATGCAACGTGAGGCTTTGAGGAGAATTGAGAATTTTAGCTATTATCTTCTTGTCTTTAATCATTGACAACTTTGAGCGCCATGATACTTATCATTTACGGCACTTGTAGGACTGCATCTCAGTTTGGTCATCTGCTAGAGGCTCTTATCCTTTATTGACAGATGAGAGGGGATAGAAAATAAATGCACAGATGTACACATACTTGTTTTAATCATTTGCTTCAAAGATGCATTCAAACAAGTTCCTGGTTTTGTATTAAGCCTTTATTTTGTAAAGGCTAGACTGTGCACCCAAAAGTGATATGGCAGCACTCCAGCAACTTCTTTCCCTGTTAGAAAATTGTTATTCGTGAGATTGCATTTATAACATGGTCAATGTTAATTGTGTCAAAAACAGGCTATAAACTTAAGTTCTGCTTCAATTGTTCTGGAAAGTAACCAGCATGCGACTTTCTGCCTATCTTCAAAATTTCTCACATCTGCTAAATCACAGCTAGAGGAAGGTTATTTTGACGTTGAGTTCGACAAGAGTCATAATCATAACAAACCTCATCTCATTTTACAAAAACAAGCTGTTGCATCAAACTTTTCAAAGGATAAATCCTCATCTACGACCCCATGTACATGGAAGAAGTGGGCTAGAGCGAGTTTAATATGTCTTGTTGGCATTCTGTTGTTATTCTTTCTGATTTATATATCCTCAAGGTATTTTAATCATTTTTTTCATGTAAAGTGTTTGATTATTTTGTGATTCTTGATTGTAGAAGTACGGGCACTAGAGCTTTCGTCTACGAGCGGTCAATTGTGCATGGTGTAGATGGTAGGAGTTGATGTTGGGGAGTTTTAGTCTACCCGCGAACTATGATCTTCACAACTCGGAAGCCAACCTACAATTAATAAGATATAAAACAATCACAATCAAGAAGAAAGAACACCAAGATTTACGTGGTTCGATCGACAAACTTCAACCTACGTCCACGGGTAACAATACGAGAAATCCACTATGTATCAGGAAGAACTACAAGAGGAACCATTCAACTCTCGTCTCTCAATCTCTCAACCTCACATATATAATTAACTCTCATATTATCTCCAAAACCCTCTCCTTACAATCTTTTGAACGGATAAATACTGTGAAACCCTCTCCCAATGATGTAATCTTTTACACAGACAAAGACTACAAAACTCTCTTCTCTCGCACGATATTCTTGAATCAGGTTATGTCCTCTGATAACCCTAGATTATAAGAATATTAGCTCTCATATGTTTGTCTTTTCCTCCAATAATAGAAGAATATATAGGGAAACCAAAACCCTATCTCTAGCTTAACTTTCTAATTAGAATAGGATTCAAACTCCTAATCATGATGAGACTCAATCTCCTAATCATGATATATCTCCAACTCTATCTAATTCTCATGAAGTTATACAAAGAATCAAAGATACAATCCTAACAATCTCCACCTTAAATTTGATTCCCAAGCCACCTCGAAGATCTACTATTACCGTCTTGAAACTTTACCTCTCCTGCTAGAGTCTTCTATTTCTTTCGCACTTCAAATCGAAGCAACTGCTCTCCAACTAGATGCCCCTATGACCTCACTTTCATCTATCTCGGTGTGACGCCTCCACCTCTCTTGTGCACACCAAGAGATCTTCGCCATCTCTGACATTAGAAGTAAATCAACCATACTTTTCCTCCCAAACTGAACTTGACAGTAGCCTTCCCCTACCTGTTATCCTCGTACTCCACCTGCATCGCTTGTCTCGAATCATATCGGTGCACCTCTTCTACTCCACACTACGAACCGGATGCCTCTATCCCCTTCGTCACTTGGCTTGGACCGAATATGAGCGCTTATCGTCTTCAAGTCCAATGCTACCATCTCCATCTCCCTGTATGTCACTCGATCATGCCCGCTTGCAAGCTCCACCTAATCTGACATAGTCCTCTTCGAGTTTACACACCAACCAATTCCTGCTCCTGCGATGACTTTAAATAATCATATGTTGATAATTCTACTGTTAGAATCACGTCTGATTCTCTTCACCAGTCTCATCTGTCGCATATTCGTTTGTCCTATCTGCCATCAGATCTGTCTCGTTACCACAATCAAAACTTTCCTCCATCTTTTGACTAATTCGAGCATAATCTGAGAAATCAGACTCTCCTATCGCATTCACAGCACTCCAAAACCTAGGAATCGATTGCTAGATTGTTGTGTTCCGCCTTTGATTCACTGATCTACACCCGGATCAACTGCATCCATTGGATTTGGATCCAGAACACCAAACTCCGCACAAATCAGCCTACACCAGATGAATAGCACCACAAATCACCAATAACTTGATTTTCTCTCACGTGTACACATCAAAATTTGTTTCCTTTCTCCTTCGTAAGTTGGAATTCGTACACCTCACGTTAATTTCACATGGTCCTACTGATTGGCTGAAAGTTTTCCTTTTTTTCTTTTCTTCATCTTGATTCTTGTAACGTGGATCTTCAATCTTGCATGACGTCAGCTTCTATCTTGCTCTCGCTCCCGGATCCATCATTATGGTTATGATACCACTTGTTGGGGAATTTTAGTCTCATCGTGAACTACGATCTTCACAACTCGGAAGCCAACCCACAATCAACAAGATATAAAACAACCACAATCAAGAAGAAAGAACACCGAGATTTACGTAGTTCGATCGACCAACTTTAACCTACATCCACGGGTAACAACACGAGAAATCCACTATGTATCAGGGAGAACTACAAGAGGAACCACTCAACTCTCGTCTTTCAATCTCTTAACCTCACATACATAATCAACTCTCATATTATCTCCAAAGCCCTCTCCTTACAATCTTTTAAACAGATACAGACTGTGAAACCCTTTCCTAATGATGTAATCTTTTGCACATACAAAGACTACGAAAGCCTCTCCTCTCGCACAATATTCTTGAATCAGGTTACGTCCTCTGCTAACCCTAGATTACAAGAGTATTGATTCTCTCTCATCTGCTTGGTTTTTCCTCCAACAATAGAAGAATATATATAGGGAAACCAAAACCCTATCTTTAGCCTAACTTCGTAATTAGAATATGATTCAAACTCCTAATCATGATGAGATTCAATCTCCTAATCATGATAGATCTTCAACCCTATCTAATTCTCATGAAGTTATACAAAGAATCAAAGACACAATCCTAACAATTAACCCTTATTTTGAGGTCTTTACCTGAAGGTCCTGAGAAAAAGTCTACTGCAATGAAGGGCCGTGCTTATCAGCGGATGGAAACTGAAATTGGTTTTGGTAAACCGGTGCACAATAATCTGGTTTGAAGGCTGCCATAAAGCCACTTTTGTAGTGGGCGGAGAAGCAAATACCCAAACAAGCTCACAAGCATGCCTCTGTGTTTCTATATGCTACAACTGGTGTTCGTAGGCTACCAAGCTTTGATTCAGAGTGGGTTTTGGAGAAAGCATGGTCCATTTTGAAGAAATCATCTTTCTTATGCCAGAAAAATTGGGTTAAAACTATCACAGGCATGGAGGAAGCTCATATGGGTCTGTTAGGTTCATCACCAACTAAAGACACATGGTGCACTGGATATGGGTGGTTCGTCATTGCAAGTGACATTTGAGACCGAAAAGCCCATAAATGATGAGACAGGTATAAATTTGAGCACAAGAGTGCTCAATCATCATCTGAGTGCATATTCTCTTTTGGGATATGGCTTAAATGATGCATTTGATAAATCAGTGGTTCACCTTCTTAGAATGCAACGACAAACAGTGAGCTCAAGTAATGGTAAAATGGAGCTTAGGCATCCATGCCTGCAGTCGGTGTATAGAGAGAAATATATATGTTCTCAGTGTAACACATCAAACCAAGATGGAAGTCCTCTAAGTGCATGCAAAACTATGAGAATTGGAAGGCCAGGTGTTCCTGTTGAGTTGATTAGTGCACCTCAATGGGAATGTTATAGTTCACTTGCAAAAGTAACAGTCAATCTTTCTGAATGGTTGAACTTAGGGCCTGCAATTGACTGTGAACTACAACCTTGTGCTCTTAATGAGAACTTGCATGTACCACATGGGCAGTTTTATGCCATGTCTTGTTTCTTTGTAGTGTATCGGTTTTTCAACTTGACTTCAGATGCATCCTTGGATGATGTGCTGCATGCGGGTCACAAATTTTGCGAGGAAACATGGGACGTTACAAAGCATAGTGTTGTCCCGCAGCCCTTTATTGAACACTACAGCTTCAGGGCACCATATATTGTATCACTGCTTAGAGATGGACTGCACATTACAGATAACCATGTTTACTTGGATCTGGGAGCGTCACTTGGACCTTGGGTGTTGCTTTTATTGGAGGATGGACAAGCATTCTCAAGACAATCAGAGTTCCATGGCGCAAACATATTGCATGAAAATGCAAATCCAGCTATTCTGTTTGTTTTGTTTTTTATATCAGTTATACTTCTTGCTTGTGCGATATCATATGCTTTCAACTGGACCCCCAAAGTTTTCAGAAGATCACACCTCCCTCTTTTTAGGCATAACAGTGCAAGTCATTCCATTCTCAACTTCCAACGGTAGAGCTCCATAGGTATGCTTGTTCTCATGAGATGAATCATCTAACCTTATCACTTTGTTATTTACTACGCGTTCACAAAGTTTTCTTTGTTTCTTTTTTCTTTTTGGTGCTTTTGTCTTCACATCCATGTTACGACGGGTTCTTGATACGTGCCTGTAATTCGCACAACACTTGGATTTATTTTTCTATATCAGTATTCCTATCAGCACCAATTGTTTTTAATTCTTCTAATTTGAACTTTAACTTCAATGGTAACCTCAGAAGAGATGTGCAACTTGGGCTGGCAGGATCTAAGTAAAGCACAACCTCATGCCGTCTAATTTCTCCAAGTTCTTGTGAATAGAGTTCACACACACACACACACACATTCTAGCCTAACTCTAGCAGAGGCAAACATGATGAAGTCAATCATGTACATTGTACTGTGTTTGCTTGAGTAAATCTGGAAGCACAGTATGCAAATAGGGGAAAAGAAATTAGCTTTGATGATTAAGAATGGAGACTCGTAAGAAAACTAGAAGAAAGATGAGGGGAAAAGAAAATATAGCATGTTTTTTCTTGTTAATTAAAGATGGCAAGTTAGATGAGCAAGGTTTTTTTTTTTGGTGCAAGGAAATTAGTGGCAAAACTATAACAAAAGAGGAAGCTTGGAAGTGAGAAAATTACAAGTAGGATATGGAAGGGGCAGAAGAGAAGAGAGAAGTAGTGTTCGATACAATTGTTAACAAAGCAAGATAGAGAATGGTAGAGGGGAAAAAGAGTAACTTACACGAGGAGAACATCCCAATTGAATTCTAAGGATTTATAGATCGCTGCAATAGGAAGTTGCGGTAAAAGTAATTTTGATTCTAGCCTACATAATTCTCTTCTGTATCTTTTTTGTATTATTTGTCCCCTATAGTTGATGAGTGATTGTAAAAGGTCGGATTGCACTCTCAGTTATTAACTTGTATCACTGAGTTGGAATATTAAAGTTTGAAACCTCAGCTGTCTTATAGTATTGCACCTATTAAAAAATTCAGTATTTAAGCTCTTATTGGTTGGCCTTAGCAGTAAGTTGAGCAACATTACGAGTTGTTAGAATATAGAATTATATTCATGAATCCTCGCCACAATTTCGCTATAATGAGTGGCATACTAGCAGGTACTTAGGATAATATCAGAGACATCCATATTCCAATTCATCCAGCCACACCTTCCAAGTGATCAATTAACAATGAGGGGTTGAAAACAAAAGGATGCCATTGCTCTAGAAGAGTATTAGAAATATAGAATATATTAATATAAAATTGTACCCTCAACCCTTATAAGAACTTTTGGGGTTTTCATGGGGATGGTTCATATGCGTTTTAAGTGGAGTTGGCAGCTGATTTCTATTTGATCATGAATCTTTCTGAATGTGCTACAATCTTATTGACTTAAAGCTTTTTTTTTAACTATTTTCTTCTTTTATATGAATTTTCATTTCCACATATAACGATAATAAAGCAAATTTAAATTATTTTCCTCTATTTGTTTTCTATTCTAGTGGATGGAAGAGTGAAGACGCCACTGAGTCCTACAATTGCCGATTCTGTGCAGCATCCATTTGGTATGGGAGGTAGCAACATTCACCTTGCAGAATCACACCCTCTAGGTTTTGCACATAGTTTTTCTTCTGGAAGCCTAGGTCAGATGCAGTTTGGAAATGGAGGATCATCCTTCATGACTCCTCTTCGAGGTCAAACACTTCAAAGTCGTAGATCACAATCCAGAGAAGCCCTTAGTTCTTCATTCGTCGAAAGCTCACATCACAAAGGTGTAGCATATGCAAACAAACGATGAGAGTGGTACAATTATCCTTTCTTAGTTAGCTTTTTATTGTATGCAAATAACAAATAGAAATGAGATAATTTTCCCATTAATTTTATTTTATACTTTATTTCAGCAAATAGAATCTGATCACATGTTATTAACTAGCAATTTTTATACAATCCATGAAAAAAAGTTCTCTTTTAACTAATTCCGATTATTCATAATTTCATATTTGGTATGTGTTTTGAGCATTTTCCATAAGCAGGTGGGAAATTTTGATGACCAAGTTATGCTGGACGATGTCCACCATATTACCGCAGATAGTTGAGCCCTAAATGACATTCAGGTGCTTGTGATGTCATATAGTTTTGTTTCCTGACGTGATATTTTAATTGAATTAGTTATTCTTCTGTCTCTAGTTTATTCAAGAGAAAGCGAGAGAGCATCTTGCTTTTTCTTTCCACAAATTTTAAATCCATATATGTGGAATGCACATGTTGATAGCTCGCTGGCATTCTAAAAATTATGTAGTAACAGCCAGTTCATTTACAGGTGTGGCTACTTGCTAGAATACCTTTTATCCTTCTTCTTCTTTTTTTTTTTTTGTGTGCGCAGCGCGTACGTGAGTTCAGAGAAAGTGGCACAAAATTTTGGCTCTTCGAACTCCAGAGGACCTACTTGTGTTTTTAGTTTTTGCTAAAGCCTAGAGAGAGTGCCATTTACTACTACCAGTAGTACTTCCCATAATTTAGGCAATGCGGAATCATCCCACATTTGACGATCTAAGTTATCTCGAGTGTGTTCGTCAAAATTTAATGGTTCTTTTTACGTGTACTCTTCTAGTTGTTTTTGTGAAGAAGGTCTTGACGCTTGCGCGCTCCATTTAGCTGAACATATTTTATTCGTTTTCGTGTACTCTTTTGGTTGCTGAGTGCATGATGCTAGAGGTAGGTTTCATGTGAGATTGATAGTAGTGATGAGAGGTTGTGTAACTCGTATTGATGCCTCCGTTGAGGATCCTAGCTACTCCGGAGACTGGAATGTGTAAGACTCCTAAAATTGAACTTCGGAACGTAGAGTTTTTATTATTGTTTTATAAACATGGTAGGCTAATAAAATAGATTTGAATGTCTATAGAGGAGAGGAACATTTTTCTTAAGAAACATACTTGAAATGAGTCACATATGCCGTGTTTATATATGTATCAAGTTAAAATCTGGAGCGCGGATCCTAAGATTCACATCTAGCTACAGATTAATAAGGAGACCTGTGAGCTAATATATTACGTACCCGCTTTTTTGATGCGGTGTGTCAAATTATCTACTGCCATTTTGTTATCTGTTATGTGAAATTAACTACGGTCTGGGGGGTGGGGTGCTTTTTTTTTTAGGGGGGGGGAGGAATAATATAGAACGTCTATCGAAAGGAGGGACATAAACTATAGAGCGCTTAATTATTTAATCAATTGTTACTTTGATTATATTTGAGACGTTACCTTCTCTGACAACAAATTGCATGTAGCACTCCATACAATCAATAGTAAGTTCATATATATATATATAATTATATTTATATATATAGGTAAAAGCTTAATGTCCAACTTAAGTGGATAGGAATAAGTCTCCACGCAACTTTTTTAAGCCGTTGATATTGCATTGGATCCGTGATAGATATGAATAATCTTTTAAGATTCTCGTGCATCTTTTGATGGCACAAATCTTAAGACAAGATCTGAGTGGATAAAAAGTTTGGTGGACAAAAACCTCCTATCACTTATAGTGGATAGGATTTTACCTCTTCTCTCTCTCCAATCCATCTCTCTCTCTCTCTATATATATATATATATATATACGTATATATTATATATATATATATGATATATATATTATATATATTATAAAAGTGAATTAAGGGTGACATCCTATCCCCTGCAGCCTAAGGACGCGCTTAAGACACATCATATCATTCTATCTAAATCTTTTTTACAGATCCGCTCCCGTAAGATTGTGTTTACAGTTCTTAGAATGCCAAACACAACCATTGGGTTGAACCGGTCGTGTTTTGACTATATCGTTGAGCCGTGCAAACAAGTTCTATTATTCGAAACCGTTAAAATTGCACCGAAGTGGATAATGTCCAAAACAGCGATCGGGTTTACGCCCAAATTGGTGTGTTTGAGTTTTAAGAACGTGTAGATAAGTTCAACCGGAGCGGATCGTAAAAAAAATTAGGAAATGATGTGATTTTAGGCGCGTCCTTAGGTGAGAGCCTAGGGTGTCACCTTAGATTCACTTTTCTCGTACAATGGTCATCACCATTTTTTTCGGGTACCAAGGTACTCCAATTTCTCATATATATAATATATACTTATATATACTACACACACATAATATATATATAGTATATATATATATATATATTTATATATATATTATATATAATATATATATATATATATTATTATATATATATCATACTCCTTTTAAAAGTACGAGTTCGGAAAAATCTTTTCATGGTCAGTATTACCCTTAACTTTTTAAAATTTTATATTGTTATCTTAATCTATTCTAATTATCTTATTTTTTTAAAATTAGTAACTAAATGATTTATCATATTTAAAATGAGACTTAACATGTTATTGGATAAAGAAAATATATTTGATATAATTCAAATCATTTACTTATTTCAGGTCATAGAGAAATCTAAAAAACATATGCTAGCCAGCACCTAAAAATTTTTGGACTTTGTAAAAAAATCCTCCAAGTTTTTTAAATTACAAAAACACCCCTACAAATTTAAATTTTTATTAAAACATCTTAAAAATTATAAATTTTACTTATTTCAATTCAGTAAAAAATCTAAAAAATATATGCTAGCTAGAAACTAAAAGTTTTTTAACTTTGGAGAAAATATCTTGTAAGTTTTAAAAATTACAAAAACACCCTTAAAATTTAAATTTTATTAAAAAACACCTTCAAAATTTCAAACTTATAAGCACACTAAAAACTTAAAAAAACACAAACAACCCCCAAATTTTTTATGAAATTTGCAATAAACACACTGAACTTTTTACAAATTACAAAATAAAACCCTCGGAATTGTAAATTTATAAAAATTCTAATAATTTCTACTGAACTTTTTACAAATTACAAAATAAAACCCTCGGAATTGTAAATTTATAAAAATTCTAATAATTTCTAAGCTAATAGTACATTGAAAATATATAAAACCCTCGGAATTGTAAATTTATAAAAATTCTAATAATTTCTAAGCTAATAGTACATTGAAAATACAAGAATTATAAATATCCCCTGCATAATTTATAATTTAAAGAAAAAACCCTACGAATTTCAAACTTATTAGTAAATTGAAAGCATAGGAATTATAAATAGTCTATAAATAATTTACAATCTGTAGAAAAGGCTTAAAAGTTTAAAAATTACAAAAAACCCCTAAAATTCATAATTTATAAAAAAATACTATGAGAATTTCTAACCTATGGACACAAAAATGAATATACGAAATTACTAACAACCCTAAAAAACTAAAATTTTACAAAAAATATCATACTCATTTTAAAAGTATAGATTTAGGAAAAACCTTTCATAGTCAAAATTATCCATAACTTTTTTGAAAAGAACATAAATGATTAAAAATCTATTAAATTTTAAATTTACAGAAAAAACACCCTTAAAGTTTAGCTCGTTGTAAATTACCTCTCCAAAGTTTAAAAATTTTTAATGATTTTTTATAATTTCTTTATTTCAATGTAATGTTTAATAGTTTTGTGTATTTGTAAATTACAAAAAATTAGGGTGTTTTTTATAATTTTTTAAATTTTTAGGGTGTTTTTTTATAATTTTTAAAATTTTTTAGGGTGTTTCTTTTATAGTTTTCTAAATTATTATTGTGTTTTCAGTGTAATGCATAAATAAGTTAATTAATTATGATATTAAAGAGTAAGTCGTTCTTAAGATTATTAGGCTATAGTTAAGTATACAACACATCACTGTTCCTAGATAGTGTAATTTATATATGCAAAAATTTTATATAAGATCCTTTACAAATTGAATGGTCACCCATCTCTTGAAGACTTCAAGATACTAATAAATAGAGATATTGTACTAGATTAATGTGTTTATAACTCACAAACAGTAGACCAGTCTGGATTGAAGGAAACAATGACGATAAGATTATTAGACCATAGTTAAGTGCGCACATCACTATTCCTAGGCAATATAGTTTATATATGTAAATTTTTTTAGATAATATATATAGTGGTTAAAAAGATTTTGATTTAATGTACTATTTTTTATAAATTATATTTAATGTGATCCACTATATAATTTTCATTGTGGTCATCATAAATTTAATATGTTTGATTGATTGGCTATAAATGTATATAGACTATAGATTACTTTATTTTCTCACATGAGCTAATATTTAGTGTTTAATAATTTAAATTATTTTTTTAATTTAATATAAAGAGGAGCTCTAATAACATTTATTTATTTACCTACAGCATAATACAATCTCAATTTTTATTTTTGCTGGAGATTTATTTCATAGCTAAGTGTATCAAATTAGTAACTAAAATAATAATTAATTATGCTGAAATTAGGATGATTATAGTTGGTCACTTACTATGAAGTTTTTATAAAGATATATACATTAAATTTTTATAGCTATCTGCATTGCCAATGTATAATTTACAAATTACTTCTTAATTTGACACATTAAATTATATTTTCTTTGTAGAAATTTTTTCTTTGACTTTTAGACTCTGTAATCACTATATCACCATTTTAGCATAGAAAAGACCTCACTCTAAATGGCTTCAAGTCAATGTTTGAGTTGAACTGAAGTACATACTATTGCTACTATGTGTATATATTTTTTAAAAAAAATATATCAACACTTTTTTTAAGTAGAAAAGAATATTTTAACCTCTGATATTATAAAAACTAAATATAGCCAATTGAGTGATTAACAAAAGAGCACTTACATAAGAAAAATATGAATAATAAGATAAAAAAAGGTAATGACATTGCCAACAATACTACAAATAACAAATTATAATATAAAGTTAACATATTTTGTGGAGCACAACTACTGACTATAAGCATATAGGTTTCCATATATATACTTTTTAATTTATTTAAAAATATCATATATAGTAATATCGTTGTAATAATATCGTTATTAGGAAAAAATTCTTCATGAATCAATATGTTTGTTACGATATATAAGCTATGCACTCAAAATTCTTGTGTCTTTTATAGAGTTAAAATGTTTGAATACAAGCCTCTAACATGTTGCTCTCACAACAACAAAATCCACTTAGCAGATGTGGATATTCCATATGAGTTATGTATCCTATATACAATACAATTGCCCTATGCAAGTGAGTTATAATAGCATTTTTTATTCACATTTTGTTTAGGGTAAGATTTGATAGGGACCTTGTATCAAAGGGAAAAAAATTATATTTAGAGCATATAGCGAAATATATCATAATCTTCATGTTCTAATTTCGTAAGAAAATAATTCTCCATACTTTTAATTTTACTTCTATGATACAGAGAATGAGCTATAAAATTGAATGAGAATATTATATAATATTTTTACTTCTATGATACAGAGAATGAGCTATAAAATTGAATGAGAATATTATATAATATAAATATGAGTGAAACAATAACTAAAAGTTAAAATTGAATGAGAATATTATATAATATAAATATGAGTGAAACAATAACTAAAAGTTAATGTGAATATGACTCAAACAATAACTAAAAGTTTAATGACATATTACAAGTAAATTCATATGCAAAATTCTTTTACGAATTGAATGATCACCCATCTTTTGAAGACTTCAAGATACTAATAAATAGAGGTGTTGTATTAAATTAATGTGTTTATAACTCACAAATAGTAGATCATGTGGTCACAGTCTGGGTTGAATAAAGCAATGACAATATTTTATTTAATAGAGAGATTATTGAGTTGATGATCAATCAAAAAAAATCTTTATTTTCTTTTTATATTTTTACTCTATTATTACCAATTTAAATAATCATGATATTCAACCACGTGCATTGCACGTGCATCTTAACTAGTATATATATATATATATATATATATATATATATATATATATATATATATATATATATATATTATATATATATATATATATATATATATATATATATATGATATAATATAATATATATATATATATATATATATATATATTTATATATATTATTTATTTTTTTTATATATATATACTATATACTATATATATATGTGTGTGTGTGCTGTGTGCTGTGTGCCTGCGCGCTGCAGCGCGTCGTGAAATATGGTGTATGCTTGTACCAATACAACAAATTTTGGTGGTTGGTTAGTCAGTGTCACAATTCCCTTCATTCATTCAAATGGTGGGACCACGTGTCACATGGGTTGAGGAGTGCCCATGAGGATATATAACCATTTGAATGCAGTGGAGGGGATTGTGCTACCCACTACAAAAGCATACCAGCACAATTTTTGTTGGTCTGCGTAGTGTGAGTTGGCACAATCCCTCCATTTATTCAAATGGGGAATCACATTCATATAAGTTGAGGAGTGCGATCGTGGATATGCAACTATTGACATGGAGTGCGAGAAGATTATCTCACTCTCACTACCAAGCATACCCATTTCCTCTCTCTCTCTCTCTCCTCTCTATATAATATATATATATATTATATATATACTATATATATATTATATCTATATATACTATATGAGAGAGAGAACGAGACCGTGGATGACTAGCGGATGAGACCTCTGAGAGAGCTAGAGACCGAGAGAGTAATTAATGGGTATCCTTGTCATGGAGGAATTTTCCTCCTTGTCGCCTGTGCACAATTCTATCATCCTCATAATAGCACAAATTTCCCACCAACTTCACCACTCTCCTCACCTACTTTATGAGAATTGTACCACATAGCGTCAAGGAGAACTCTCCCTATGACAAGGAACCCAGTTAATCTCATATATATATCTTATTATATATATATATATATAAATATTAATTGATATATATATATATAATTATATTATTATATATATATAATATTTTCATATCAGGCAAGGATCCTAAGCGATATGAGTGGCCTACAAAGTTTGTTAGGAGAGCTTTTAGCTATCCACTTAAGTTGCATACAAATTTATTACTATATACTAATTATATATTTATATAAATATAATAATAGAAAGAGTATCCTTTCACTAGGAGGGATTTCCTCCTTATGGACCTCTAGATATCACATGATTGAGCGACATCTGTGATGATCGCTCCGTTGAACTGATCTCATATTCTAAAACCCCAACACACCCAAGTCTATTGTGTGTAACTCGCCTTTTGACCCTTCATCCACTTCGTCATCAATTTTAACGGTTTGAATGAATAGAATCTTTTCACATGCCTCGATGGAGGTCAAACGACATATTCGATTCATCCCCAATACTTCGGTATGTTGGGGTTTGACCTGCAGTTAGAATATGTAGATTTCAAGTCAACGAGAGCGGATCATTCCATAATGTAGCCTCAATCATTTGTGATTTTAGAGGCATCAAGGAGGAAATCCCCTCCTATGACAAGGACTACCACATATAATCTCCATATATATATATATATATATATATATATATATATAATAGAAATATATATAATAGAAAATAAAAATAAAAATCCTTGCTTGATTTTTTTAGGGCTTTCGCATATAGCCCTTCAAATCTTCCGTATTTGTAAATTTACTATGCAATGGTATTTGCGAAGATATCCTAATTCTCTCATAGTAGGTTTTTCTAGTCCTCCCACTTGACTGTTTTTAGGTTTCAAATGAAAGATACCACAAACTTAGTGGAAATTATCAGAAAATTTTATTTCTCTATTTAGAAATCAATTGTTAAGTTAGAAGGATATAAAAATCTAATATGAAGAATTATGATGTATTTTTGCAAATATCAATATTTTCATTGTAAATATGCAAATATGGAATATTTAGGGTGCTATGTGCAAACAACTTCCTGTTTTTTCTGATATCGGGTCGGGTACGAATCATCCACTTGTCGAACTACTTGCTTTGGAAAATGCCACGTATTGGAAAAGCGTCCATAAATATTTGGCGAAGTTCCCGCCTCCACGAAAGGATCACGGGAATTCTTATGCGGTATACACCGCATACAGATATCATATATGCGGCACCGGAATTTGATCGGGTAGAGCGCGCAGGGATTGGGAATCGCGTGATCAGCTGGGACCCACCTGCTACGTTACTGTTCTCATTGTTGTTAAAATATTTTTGCACGAGACTTCATTTTACTTTTGCTATTTGCAACTTTGGGCTCTAGGCAAATATGTAGTATTAGAGCTGGAACGTTTTCTTTTTGTACTTTTTACGCAGATCACCTGAATGTTTTGATGAGAGCAGCATTTGAATTAAAGTTGCGAGCATTTCGGAATGACTCAAGGCTATAATCTGGAATTAAATCTAGATTGAAAATGTTCTTCATTAGCTGCGTTGAATCAAAAAAACCTTATGGCGTCAACTTTCTTAAGTTTTTTTTACTAAGTTATGAAATATTTAGAAAAATATCAAATTAATGCCCTCGAACCAATCCCGTTATGAATGATTTTTATTATCTTCATAGTATTAAAGTAAACTATTTTAGAAGGTCACCTAGTGCAGAAATATATCAACATGTAATTCGTTTTATGAAAAAAAATACAAGGCAAACAAGATAAAATTTGAGTATGATTTAGACTAATAACACTGTTCATATTCCAGCGAGATAAAACCATGATTTATTACTAAAAATTTAACCTAAGGGAGCATCATGTCATGTTACCGGGTATTCAACTAAAGTTCAACAAAATCTTAACTTGATAAAAGCATCATAACTTATTACAGTACAAGTTTTTGCACGAAAAAGAAATAGAGATTTTCAAAATGCAATAAAAACAATCTCTAGGTTGAGAATGAAACAAATCCGGAAATTATTCTCGATGAAAATGAAATAATCCTACCTAGAGAATCCAATTAATTAATAAAAGAAAGCAAGACTAATTACTAGGCCAAAGAGATTGGAAACCCCGAGGGCTAAAAAACCTCTGGCAATTGTCTCTTCTCCCATCAATCTCCCTCTCTCTCTCATCACCCGAAGCCAAGTATCATAAAATAATCAGACATTCGGATAAAATAAATAAAGGCAGCCCAACCCAAGTCACACAAAAAAGTGTCTCAAAAAAAGCATTTTGAAAAACTCTCTCCTGGCCGTTCTCTTTCTTCCCCCAATTCTCTCTAGGGTTTGGTAATGGCGGAGCAAAAGAACCGCTGGACTTGGGAGGTGCCCGGATTCGAGCGCCGGAGATCGTTCGAGCTCGACGACGCCGCTTCATCGGAGATACTCGGTTTCTCCGTCGTTGATCGGCCTTCGCTCTTCGGAGCTCTCGAGAGCGCAGCAGCCGCTGTCTCATAAGCTCCATAAGTTGAAGGAGCAGCTCAAGGTTTGATCGCTATATTTACTTACAAAGGCATTTGATCTAAAACTTTGATTTTTTTTTGTTTGTTTGTGGCAGTCGTAGACAGCTGGACTTTCGTCTAGAACTTTGATTTTCCTTCGTTTTTTGCTTATTTTTTAGACAAATGCACAATATTAGGGTTTTAAGATAACAATGCCTTTGTTAGCTTTGACAAAGAAAAAAATCGCACATATTCACTGTAAAGGCGAACATCTCAGTTTAATAATTAATCCCTCTCTGGAGGTTTAAAGAGTAAAATCCAGCATTTAACTGCAAAAGTGATCAACATTGGGCTCCATGGAATTGTGCATCATTGATAATGTTCGAGTGTAAGAGGCATGTTGTCGTAAGGCGCATTAAATGTAATTTCCAAGGGAATATATAAGGAGGGATGCCTCTTCCCATCAAGATTGTATAAGTAGAAAAAACTCAATTATGGAACTGCTTGGGTTTGTTCAACCTTATGACGATGGTCATTAGTTTGTCCAAATATGCGACTGAACAACTACGAGGAAGAGGTGGATTGTCATTAAACCTCAATGCAGGTGGGCCAGTAGGTTGACTTGCTGGCTTCTAGTATGTCACTTTAGGGATACTCCTCTTCTGGAATATTTATTTGTCTTATACTCGTCCTTGATCCTTCTACCTTAGCCATGCGATGCTTCTATTATTGAAGGCATGATGTAAGTGGGTTTTGAAGGCTTTCCTCATTGCACATGTGAGGGGGATGCTTTTATAAATGTTATAAATACTTTCACCTTGTTTTCATATGGTGGAGATGGAAAATCACATGGAATATGCTTAGTTAAACAGTTCAGGTCGAGATTCCCTTACCCTGTTTTTGCGATAATATCCTTCTAAAGCCAGTTTCACCTACCAAGTTGGATAACAATGTGCTATCACATCCTTCAGGCTTCAACCCATGCATACCCATGTTTCCACTGCCATTTAGATCACCTTCTAAGTCATTGTGATCTGTTAGGTCTTCTAGAGAAATTAGTGAATACAGTTACTTGTAAACATCAATATGGTGTTTGGTTCAGTGTAAATGACATTCCGTCCTACCTCACCTCCACTTTCCCTCATCTGTTCTCCTACCGAACTTCATATGAATTGTAAGCCTCCAGACATCCTTCAAATTTGCATATCCCCATGCTTCCATTATTTTGTCATTGACTCTTCAGCTCCTAATACTTCAAGCCTTAAACTGTCTTCTATTTATTCACTAGGTCTTATCTTCATCTCCTTTTGCTCTTGGCGAGCCATTTCGTGGCCTCCAATATACTTGAGTGATGTTGCTAAAGGTGATCTCTTGACTCTTGTCCTTGAATCTAGGTTTGATCATCTGTTATAAGCCCCTTGAATTTCTGTCGCCCTTGATATTGGTTAACACATAAAAATGGAAGTTAGGTAGACACCCTATTAGAATTTTTATTCCTTAGTTTGAAGAAAAAGTGCTTGGCATGTCTAGGGTTTTCATACTGAATATACAAGAAAGTACTAGTGAGGACCAACATTGTATGAAAATGGATAGAGGTGGTGGTACGTATGAGTACATGACGACAAATCTGTAAACAATAGGGTACAGGGACACGACTATATAGTATGTGTGTGTGTGTATGGAAATTAAAAAATTATATAAGATCAATATTGTTTTTCTATTGAAAATTAAAATTCCTATAACAAGTTTATCTTTCTTTTATTATACATATTATAAATTGGAAAACCACTCGTTTTCAACAAGATACCCAAATGACCATTTGAAATTATAGTTCTGAATTGGGTATGGGCTAAGGGCCTATTTGGTTCATATGGATTGTCGGAAATGGGTTTCCTTTATTTTGGGGCCCAATGCACTTATTACATCTCTAGAAGGTGGGTCTCACATGCATAATATTCCTTCCCTTTTCTCCCTCAACCAAACAAAAGAAAAGAAATTGTTATGGAAATCAATTTCCTACATCAACCAAACATGCCCTAAAATGAATTCAACCCATGCATAATGAGTTTCAAGAAGTGGATGCGAAATGTAGAATTTATGTCCAAAAAATGCATGATGATTGTTTTAAATTAAATCATGTATTATATAATTGAGTACACATTTGAATAAATATATATGTATTCAAGGAGTGTCTAAGGAGTTTCGACGTGGAAAGGGGTAGTGGTATGTGCCGAAGTACGAGTACAACGTCATGATAGAAGCACACATCTAATGTAGGTGAGGAATTTGAAGTTGACAGTACTGAACTATGATGTTATGGTGTCATTAGGTCTCAATGAGGATATTGTAGGCTAAGCTTGTAGGTTAATACTAGGGATGCAAGATGTTGATTCTACATGTGTGGATTCAAGGCCATTTGACGTTCATTAGGGTGAGATTTTTTTAAATATCCCCGGCATGACCCAATAATATTGGTCGGCGGCTAATATATCATTATAAGGCTTGTTGCAAAATGATATGGTCTAAAATCCTCTGCCACTTTTCAGCAATTGTTGGCGGTATATCCTCATCATGGCTGATATATCATCCGATATATTGGTTGATATGTTCTTTTATATGGATTGTCATAAAACAATATACCACTTTTGGCAATTTTTGGGCGACATATCATGATTGTCCCAATATATCAAGTGACATTTCAGCCTAAAAAAATTGGGCTAAATGTTGCAATGTTGGGGACTTTAGTTTGTTTTAAAAGGTTGATTAGTAATCCTAAACATATCATCTACATTTTTGTATGCTTAAATTTCATTAAATATGTTTACATTAATTACATTTTAGGACACTATATTATATATGCACATTATCCAATATAGCATTCCGGTATTTACCAGGTATCCCTGATATTTCCTCGATATCCACAATCCAATATGAATTTTGATCGTCCGATATTTTCCTGACAACTTATATATAAAACCTTCCCATATGCATCACAAGTTTCCCCCCTAAGGTGAAGGTCAAGAGTGAGCTTGTGAAACTGAGAAAGGTAGTGATAAACAATGGAGTTGCAATGGCATTTGCCCGATTAGCGACTGATGTTCCATTTTCTTGATCTACTTATTCAATGAAATTGAAAACCTTAAGGTCAAAGTACACTATGGAGAAAAAGCACTCAAAATGCAAAAATGAGGAGCCATGTGCGTTTGTACCATTGAGGACACTTGTTTTTGTTTAAATGGTATTCATCCTTTTTGGGGTATGATGCAATATTCTGAACACCAAAGTGGGAGCGGAAAGAGCTTGATGATTAACAAGTAGTTGTCTTGCACTTCAAAAAAAGAAGAAGTATATATTCTTGGAAACCAGAATCATGACTAGGTGCCAACTTATTTAATATGAAATGTTGGAAATGAATATAGCTGCAAAAGTGTGAACCTAATTCAACATGAAGCATTCAAATTGAAGATAACCACAAATTTCGTGAAGAAATTATGTATAAAATTCTTCGCAAGTGACAGAAGAAAGCAACTGTGATGTTGAGCAGATGGGCAGGTTCTGCTATTCTAGTGGAAGGATAATTTACATATATTGGAAAATAAACTAATGTCAATCTTTTTGTTATATTGGATTAAAGAGACTCTCAGACAAGGTCCTATTTGGTCAACCATCAAGAACTAGAACATCGTGAATCCACCTTTGACTTGAGTGTTACCCTGTTAATAGATGGATTTATCCATCAATTACTTACATCAAATGTACATGTTAGCTTATAAAATTATTACCTTAGAATTCTTTCTTAGATTTCAGCATCAATTACTTACGTCAAATGTACATGTTAGCTTGAAAAAATTAAACCTTAGAATTCTTTCTTAAATTTCAGCATGCTCCCTAGATGGATCATGAATGAATAGCAAAGACTAATAAAGATCACCCTCCCCTAAAAGTTTTTGATGAAGATTTTTTTTTATTTTTACTTAAATACTGAAGATGTCACTTTTTTAAATTATGTTTTACTTTTCAGCATAGCAGCATTGAATCTTCTTCAAAACTAATTGTCGTGCAGCCGTGGCAAATACCTGATACCAACCCTTTGTCCATTGGCTTTTCTGGAATACAGCCATTGGATTAGGCCAATTTAAAGCTGAACAAGGAACACCTTTTAATCTAGGATGAAAACTAAAGTTAGGCTTTTATCAATTGCATTGTCATGTGATGTATCATTGTTTATTAATTTGCATCTTGTATATTGTTTCTCATTTCACAATTTTTTGATAACCATCTAACATATTTATACTTATTTTTGGACTTTCCACCCCCATCAAATTGGCATCATAGCACACAAGAGAAGATTACTTGGAGTTGAGGCAGGAAGCTGGTGACCTTAGAGAGTATTCAAATGCCAAACTTGAGCGTGTGACACGCTATCTAGGTGTTCTTGCAGACAAGGCTCGCAAATTGGGTAATACATTTAAAAGCACAGTTTTCATGCAGCCAAGCATTGCTTATGCTCCTGTAGTTGAGTGTTTCTAGGAAAATCCATCTTGCTAACAATTTTGGTAGATAGCAGCTGGACAGTTATAATATCATGAACATAAATCACCATGCAAAATGTTGGTAACTAAGCTTATGCAGAACAGGAGCGACTTGAGAGATATAATTATATTGCCTATGTAAGACATTTATTTCAAAGCAAAACAAACAAATGCAATATTTTTCTTCTTTCTGCGTGAATAATTTGTATGGTAAATTTGTTAATTCTTTCTCTTGGTCATGTCTGCAGTGCAGATTTCATTTTAGTAAAAACTTTTGCATTGATAATATTTCATTAAAGACTAGTGGTATGCAATTATTTAATGCGCTTAGGAGTCTATTGTGACTTCTTTATGGTATAAAAATACCTGATGTAGATGGTGAAACTCTATCATGAAGATACTTGTGGAATTCAAAGTTTTTACTCTAGATAGATATTTGCTGTGGTTGGGAAGGGTATTTTTAAATGTTTTAAGTTCAGTACAGATGTATTTTTTCACAAATTGAAGATGTTTGACTGTACGAGTTAATTCTCCTTACAAGAAATTGGCAGCCGTCATTATTAAGTTCGAAAAGTGTGTGTCAGTATCTAGGTAGAATTGAAGGTAAGAATAAGCTTTTGGTGTTATAAACACATTATTTGAAATAATGTTCAGTCAGCTTCATGCTTATCTTCTTTCTGTTTCTTTCTCTATGGTGTATGCTCTATGTGAATGATTCTGTTGTTGCCTGGACTTGGTTTGCATTATAGTCTTGTACAGTATAAATTGATCATTGCTATCTAGCATTCACTCCATTCATGTGTCTATTGTATCCATATCTGATACTTATCAGATATCAGTAGTGCTTTCTGTCTTATCTCAGGATTCAATTATCAGATGTTGCTGCCGTTTTAAACTTATTTATTCAGATATATTATTCCCAATTTTTAGATCAAGCTGCACTTGAAGCTGAGGCCCGGATTTCTCCCTTGGTCAATGAGAAGAAGAGGTTGTTTAACGACTTGTTGACTGCCAAGGGTAATAAAATTTCCACTGATCTTTTCATTTGTTGCAAAATGTGCTAATTCCATCATCTTTTTAGGCTTTAAGTTCTTTCATGGGAACTCTTTTTGGTCCCTTTTTGTCCAATTCTGGCCTGGGCATTACTTTAGGTATTCGATTTCTTTGTCTCAGGAAATATAAAGGTATGCTGTCGTACAAGGCCACTTTTTCAAGATGAAGGTCCTTCAGTAGTTGAGTTTCCAGATGAATTTACAATCCGTGTAAACACGGGTGATGATGCTCTTACTAATGTAAAGAAGGATTATGAGTTTGATAGGGTGTATGGACCCCATGTTGGACAAGGTAAGAATTCATCTGCTGATTGGTTTGACACATACATTTCTGAGAATAAGCATTTGTCCTGCTGCATGATATTAGCATTTTCATGTAAATTAGCTATTATCCTGATTGTCATTTGAACATTTCCAGGTGACTTTTTCTGTGATGTTCAACCATTCATTCAGTCAGCCATGGATGGATACAATGTGTCTATATTCGCATATGGGCAAACAAATTCTGGAAAAACACACACAATGGTACACCTCTCCCCTTCTAAAAACAGAAAGTAATTAAAAAAGAAGAAGGAAAAAAACCAAGAAAAAAAATAGAAAAACAAGAATATAAGCACAAACACTCTGGTCTATGTTCGTACTGTGCAATCTTGTTATACACTGCTTTGCATGCTTAGCTGCAACTTAAATAAAAAATTCCAAATTTTATTCTATTTTTTCTTTTCTGATACAGAGACTTATATTGAACAAAATACAACTATCTATATAATTTAGTCAAATTGATCAGTGTGAGGATGCGTTGTTCACCTGTCACTTTGCTTGACAGTTGACACCATATCTTAGATATAAATTCAATTTCGTATAATGTGTTATCATCTTCCCCTTCTTTTAGACTTTTTTTCTTGGTGAATTTTGGAGGGCTTCTCCTTGGTTAAAACATAAACTGCATTACAAGTAAGGCATCTTTTTCTACCTGCCATGCAGCCCACCATGCTAGGGTAAGCTGCCTACTTGTTCACAGAGTCTTCAGATGGCATATTATTATAGCTTCCACGTGTTGCAAACATTGTGCATCACCATTCTATCTAGAAGAAATTGATGAGAAATAACTGAATGTAGGTCAAAATCAGAATTTCCCATGCAGAGTGGTTATCTTTTTGTTAGAACAGATTTTTTTATTGAATATCAGAAGAGATCATACAAGATACCATGCCTTAAATAGGCTTCTATAAGTTTGGAAATTTGCTTCTAATTATAAAAGGGAACACAAATGGCCTAAATGACCCATCACCCATCCCAATAAAATAAAAAAAGCTTCAAGCACATGTTTTTTTAATTAAGAAAGTTCATCTAACTTTCGATCTTTCTATATGTAGCCTATTATTCTTTAGCAAGAACTAGTGAAATACTATTGAACATGAGAATAAATCATTACAAACAATTACAATGCAGGATACATACTAGACCCAGTCGCTAAAAAGGATTGTGCAAAGATCTAAAAGGCCATTAATGATAAAATAGAATACTGAAAAGTAATATTCAATTACTTAATGGGTGGACAACACTAGACCTGGTCGCTAAAAGGACCACCAAAAAGACCTAAAACAGGCCATCTATGATCGAAATAAAATTCCAAAAAGAAAGATTCAGTTATACCTTGTTATAGGTGGGACTGTAGTCACTGTACTATTTATGTGTTATATAACTGAAGGTACTGTTCACTTTCTAAATACTTGCATCTTGTCTTTATTTATCTGCATCAAACTCAAATTTTTTCCATACCTAAGTCAGGTTGGACGCTAAATATTTATTCTCCTTAAGAAGCCAATTTACTTAAAAGTCTTTAACTGGAAATTAAAATCCAGAAAAAAATCTTGCAAATTCTGTATTTTATGTCATAACTTCAGTTACCCTGTCCTTATTACTGACATTACCTTTGAAATGATTTTTAGGTTAATTCTTAAAGCATTTTTAAAAAATTGTATTCTCTTTGAAATGATAATCGTGTTTTGAGCCTGGTCATGTTGACATTCGTCATGATTCAAAATGATGATTTGTGCGTGTACATGGTGAGATCTAGGCTTGTACTGGTTTCATATGACATATTTCTTGCCTGCGAGGTATAAATTCCAGTAGTTTTGCTATCTCAACTTTGTTTCTTCTAGGTTAAAATTTCTTTCCACCTTATGTATTTATATGTGCACTGTTTTTGATTTTTTTCATTGCTGATACAGTTTGCTATGACTATCTAGGAAGGATCGAGTCATGATCGTGGCTTGTATCAGCGAAGTTTTGAGGAGCTATTTGATCTGTCAAATTCAGATTCAACATCGACTTCTCAGTATAACTTTTATGTCAGTGCCTTTGAACTTCATAACGAACAGGTATTTCTGACTGAACCTGATTCAAGTCAGGGGGGTAGTTGCACCCCTAACATCCTAAAAATTACAATTTAAAAGTTTTCATAAATGCATTTTACCACTTCGAAATTTTACAAAGTTGCACCCCAATCCAATTCTTGCTTAATCTAGAAATGGACACGTGCGAATGCACGTGATTTGAAAACATATTTTTTCTGCATGTTTCTATTTTAAAGTATGAAAAATTGTTTTCATCTTATTTAGAATGATACGAAAACATCTTATTTTTGCATCTTTCTGTTTTAAAATATGAAAATAATTTTTATATTATTTAGAATGTACAATTACTTGTAGGTGGAGATTTTGAGGGTCATTTAATTTTATAAGACAAGATTAACTTTTTATTTGAACTTGAAATCCTCCACTAATTATCTCATCCTCATTGTTTTCATATTACTGTAAATAAACCATGGTATAGATATATGTTTATACTATTGTCTTTTTGTTTATACATATTTATTCTATTTGTATCTTTTATAATATAAAAAGATATTAATTATGCAGGCTCCATTTTTTTTCATGGCATTGGCATTTGAGTGGCTTAGAAAGTTCTAGAAAGAAAGGGGATAGAAAAGAGAAACAAATCAATCCTTGTAAGATTACATAGGATGTTCTAGAAAGAAAGAAAATAGAAAAGAGAAAAAAAATCACCTGTAAAATTACAATTTTACTATTTTCAAACAATTGGAAAGAATGATGTGTCCACCACTCTTACAAATTTGGAATACCCCTCATTGGTTTTTTACATAGTAGTATAGATAACACAAATTAAACACATTTGCATGTAGCCCATTTGATATTTGAAGTTAAGCAGCTCATTTAATTTTCAAATAATGAGCTCAAATGGGTTGGTCCATTTAAATTTAGCATATTAGCAACTAGAAACCCAACCCAAACAAATATTTGCACTTTACTTGCATTAATATGATGCAACAAATCTGATAAGGTGGATGAGTATATTCTCATCAGGAAATACAGTTTTATAATATTAATTTTTATTATTTTGGTAAATAGATATTTGCCATTCGCCCCTCCCAAGATTTTCTCTTCTGGATCCACCACTGCTTATTTGCATTCAGCAGTATATACTTTGTAATGGAAGTGTGAAACATTTCTATTAGCCACACCTTCTTGTTTTGTCCTATCCTAGTGTTTTTTGCTGTACTTTGAATAAAGATAAAATGTTGAAATCATCATCTTTTTTTGTTGTTGCAATTATAGGTTCAGGATCTGCTAGCAGAATCAGGAAGCAGCAAGTTGAGAGTTCGAATGGGTCCTACAGATGCTGTTGTGGAACTTGTGCAGGAGAAGGTCGGGAATCCTTTGGACTTTTCTAGAGTACTGAAAACAGCACTTCAGAATCGAGGAGCAGAATCCTCTAAGGCAATTGTGTCACACTTGTATGTAAACAAAATTGCAGCATGCGGTTATTCATTTGTTGTGTAATTTACTCATTGTTTTCTATTTCACTCTTTTGACAAGTTTGCAATCAACAGTTATTTTTTTAGCTACAATAACTTGTGTAACATATACGTCACTGACTGAGATACCTGATGTTTTCCCCTAGTACTTACTATGCCTCTATTACTTTCAGGGCAATTACCATACATATACAATATAGCAACTGGGTTACCAGGGAAAATCTGTACAGCAAACTTTCACTTGTAGATTTACCTGGAAGTGAGTGCTTACTTGTGGAAGATGCTACAGGAGATTGTGTAAAGGATTTTCTTCACGTGTCTAAGTCATTATCAGCGTAAGCATTGCAGCATTTTATATCTCCTAGCAATTTATACAGCTCCTTACATTAGATCTATTCCTGGAGATAATCCATGCTTCATCTTTTGTTGTTGCTAATAACTAGGTAGTGGTTACCTTTAAAAGAATTGGTATGTAAATGACCCACCTGCTCTCTGATTAGCTTACGCTCAAAGAACTTGTTCTTACTGACTGGTTGTTTGTGATTATGCACTGATAAGGTTCTCCAGTACCCGTTTTAGCTGGATCAAATTTGTGGCACTTGAGACTTACCTATCCTTCATTTTGGTTTTCCAGATAATTAGCAAATCCTGGACCAGCTAAATCCACGTGTCCCTCTAACACATTATCCTTCCTTTCTATTCAAATAAAATTGGTGGCTCTAGAGCCTTCAGAGCCAAATGTTATGATAGAGATACGTGAAGCTGACCTCCAAGGATTGGATCATCATTGTTGCTATGATTGAAACAAATATTTCCGCCTATTTGTTTATAATATAGAGCTCAAATTTTGTAAATGATTGGATGATAATGTGTTTTCTCTTTGGGGCTGGGTGGGAATGATGAATAATTTTTCCAGGCAACATTTAATGTTTTCCTAGGTAAACCCTAAAATTATTCTGGCAATTATTTATTTATTTATTTTTTGCTGATTAGTTATTTCATATCCCTAGAGGAACCTTCACACTCCAGCTCTGTCTGAAATCTTCAGATACTGAAGATTCATGTAGCTGATCCCAGAAATCTCATCATCTTTCCTCTGTGTCAACTTATGGCTTATACCTGTTGTAGTTTCCAAAGGAAACTTCTTTCTTGCTGATACATACAACTTTAACTAGCATGGTTACACAATAAAGCATCCATGCATGACTAGCCAGCAGAACAAGGAGATATAAACCATGATTACTATTCCGGTTTCTACATATTCTCAAGTTAAGCCCGATATATTAGCTAGTCTTTCCAAGATTTGAGGGCTCAATGATATGCAAATTTGTTAAAACTATCACTGTCATGCAAATTTCCCCTCTTTTGCCTTAAAATGTTCAAGCAGATTCATGTGGTTATTTGTAGCTTCTTTGAAGGAACGACATTTGTTCCTCTTACTACTTACGTTCTTGTCTCTGACTTTTTTTTTCGTGTGTAGGCTGGGGGATGTTTTGTCTTCCTTGACTTCAAAGAAAGAAACTATACCTTATGAAAACTCAAGGCTCATGACAATACTTTCGGACTCCCTAGGTAATTGTTCAGTTTGCAGATGTCAATTCTTCGGCCTTTCTAGTTCAGCTTGTTTTTTTATTTTCTAGCAATCATGGTTACTTTCTATCCATTGCCTTCTTTTTCTGATTGGTCTTCACACAAGTAGCCATATACTTTGATAAAGTGTTGATAATGAATTACTGTAAGCATTTTATCTAAATTGTAATTTTGCATGTTCTTTCACCAAATAGAAAATTTTCCAATGTATATATGTCTATATGTAATATGTAGGTGTACATGCATCGTGTGTGTGGTTACATTTTTCAGCATTTTATCTAAATTGTAATTTTGCATGTTCTTTCACCAAATAGATTTTTTTTCCAATGTATATATGTCTATATGTAATATGTAGGTGTACATGCATCGTGTGTGTGGTTACATTTACATACGGTCACTTGTGGATGCTTATGTATCTGTTTTCCAATATATGTATATATGCATGCATGTGTGTGTGCAGTTCCTTAGTGATACACCTATAATCTATGTAATCTTATGTGCTTGTGCGCATGTATGTAATACATCACATACCCTTTTTCTGTTTCTGTTATACACATGATATGAGAGCCTTTTACGTTGTCAGGTGATAGTTCAAAGACTTTGTTGGTTGTTCATGTTTGTCCAAACGCTGCAAATCTGGCCAAAACATTGTCTGTGCTTAACTTTTCTGCTAGAGCAAGGAATGCAGAGCTCAGTCTTGGAAATCGAGATACAATTAAGAAATGGAGAGATGTGGTAGGTTGTAAGATGTTGATTTTGTGTTTTATCTTTTCTACCTAATTTTATCTTTCCGTATTTTTCATTAGATCACATAAAAGTCTGAGGTGGTTTATTTCTTTATTTGTTCTTCCTAACTTTGTAGGCAAATGATGCACGGAAGGAGTTGCATGAGAAAGAAAAGGAGGTTCATGATCTCAGGCAAGAATTGGTGGAATCAAAGCTTGCTCTTAAAGAGGCCAATGAGCAATGCACTCTACTGTTCAATGAAGTACAAAAGGCGTGGAAAGTTTCATTTACCCTTCAGGCAGATCTGAAGGTAGTTTCATATTTATTGAATACAGGAAGCTAATTTAGAATGCTCACTCTTTATACAGACATCATGGCTTTACATCTTAAACGTAGGTTACGATGAGTACATAAAGTGAACCTGATTTTAAAAAAAGAAACTTCTCTTTTAAGTATTTCCTCTGTAGAATGGAAAACAACAATCAGAGTGCAACCTAGCATGTAATATATGGAAAACCAACAGACCTTAAATAATGATTATATCAACATTTTATTCAGTATTTAGCCATTAATGTTCGTGATTAGTGTTTAGTTATTGCTGATAAAAAACTTCATCAAATGAGGTAAATTTTTTTGAAAAGGTCTAGGGTTAAGTCAAACCGTAATTTGGTGTTGGATCTGAATATTGAACTCAAACCTATTTAGTTAATGTACCATATACTCATCTTGCATTGTTTTGCATGACACTTCTTCTAGTGTAAATGCTATAGGCATTTGGGGGCTATTCGTTTTGTGGAAAATTGCTAGTGTAATGCCATTTGCAAAAGCCAGTTGCATCAACAGCTGTCTGTTTTGTTGCTGCTAATGTCTGTTTGCGACGGCAGTTGCAAAAATAATGCAGCTGTAGATATGTCTTTAATCACTGCAGTTGCAGATTTCTAGATACCAACTTAAATAAGAGTTTGACATTGTTTAATTAGTTTTATTCCTTCTGGTAGTGTTTCTGAGGGTGATAAGTTTTTCCATGAATATGATTAGCTGATGATGCATAAAAACTTGTCAAAGCCGGATGTCATTTGAGATGCCATATTTGCTGCAAAGTAATAATTGATATTACATGTCAACAGACTAAAATGTTAGCATTTTAATGTGTATTCAAGCTCTTGGTTTTTTGCAGTCAGAAAATATAATGCTCTTGGATAAGCTTAAAAATGAGAAGGACCAGAATACTCAGCTTAGGAATCAAGTCGGTCATCTAGCACAACTGGAGCAGGACCAAAAAATGCAGATTCACGAGCGAGATTTGGTTATTCAAAAACTGCAGGTAAGAATGGATATCTTTTCATTGTGATATGGCAACATTTAAAATTAATGATTCTGGAAAGAAACTTCTTGACGAATGCACTATGCTTTTTTAACATTTTAGTGCTTATCTTGGTCAATGTGACATGAGAAATTTATACACATTTTGTGTGGATCACTATTAATCATATATAAGCACCGAACACAGTTTTAAAGGCTTTGAGTATTTTGTTGATCCTTTCCCTCGTTAAATCTAAGAAGCACCGACTCGTGAAAAAACCCCCCGTCCCCGTGTCCGACGCTTGTCGGGGACGGACGCGCGTTCGACACGCGTTCGACACGCGTCGGACACGGCGTCAACGGCGTCGACACGGTCAGCGCTAGTCGACACGGCGAAGTTGAGGGCGACACGGCGAAGTTAAGGGCGACACGGTGAAACCAGATTTTGAAACCCAAACCCGAAACCCAAACCCGAAACCCAATTTCAAACAGAAACCCAAACCCTAACCCTAGTCGTGAGAAAACTTACCCGATTGAAGTCGAAAGGGCTCTTGCGAAGTGAAGAGGCGCCGCCAGCTCTCAGTCTCCTCCTCGTCGTCGTCGTCGTCAGCTTCTTCTTCGTCGTCGTCGTCGTCTTCAGCTCCAAGGTCAGTCCCTCTCTCTCTCTCCCCCCCCTCTCTCTCTCTCTCTCGGACTCCGCTCTCGCTCTCGCTCATCCCTTTCCCTCTGGTTCTCTCTTTCTCTCTCTGTCTTATCTCTTTCTCTCCCTCATTTATCTCTTTCACACTCTCACCACAAAAAAACCCACAATCTTTCCCCTTTCACAAAAAACCCCCCACGAACGCCTCATTCAACCCACCATCCACTGTTCTCCCTCTCTCTCTCTCGAAAAAATCGCACACGAGATTCAAAACGCCCCTGCCCTCCACTACGTTTATTTTTAATTTTATAATAGTTTCAAAAGACCTCTGCCCCCCACTACGTTTATTTTTAATTTTATAAGAGTTTCTTACTGTTTACTGTTTTGTCATTTTTCCCACTGTTGGATGCCTCACTGTTTGGGATGTTTACTTTGGTATTCTCATAGTTAACTGCTGCTGATGGTTGGTTTAAACCCTATTTTTTTTCTGTTCTGCTGGTATTGGGTTATTAGGATGATAATCTCTGTTTATTTGCTATTTTGCTGCTTTATTACCGTATTAACTGTTATTAATTATTTTTTTTATCCTGTTTTGCTGCTGCTGTGTGATTTTCTAATGTTAACTGTTATTTGCCAACTGTTCTACTGTTGTATGCTGATTTAGATGTTAATTACAATTGCTTAGCTGTTGTTTGCTTAGCTGTTCTACTATTGTATGCTAATTTAGATGTTAATTAGGATTGCTTAGCTGTTGTTTGCTTAGCTATTGTTTACTGTTCTACTATTGTTTGCTTTTAGTTTACTGTTCTACTATTATTAATTTCTTAATTTATTGTTATTGCTTATATTTTACAGAAATGGAACAAGACGGGAGTTCTAGTGGTAGTGGAATACAAGATGACAAATGTCCACTTTGGAAATATGTTACCAAATTAGAGAAAAGAGGGGGAACGGCAGGAGGAAATTGGAGATGGAGATGTAATTATTGCAGAGAGGATTTTACTGGTTCACACTCAAGAGTTAAAAATCACCTCTTGAGAATAAGTGGGACTGGAATTAAGATGTGTTCCAAATCAACACCCGAAAATTTAAGGGAGTTTCAAAGGACGTTGGATCAAGCAGAGGCGAGGTTGATGGCTTCTAGGCCTAAGATGTCAGTTTTGCCTACATCTTCGACTGCAAGTACGGCCGGTGTAGGTGCAAGTGCAAGCATGCTGATTGATGCAGGTGGATTTAAGAGGAGGAGGGGGCCTAATACCGTGGAACAAGCATTCAACATGGGAGCAAGGGAGGAATTGGATGCATTGATTGGTAGGATGTTCTTCACCGGGGGATTGTCCTTCAACTTGACAAGGAATCCATATTATGCCAAAGCTTTTGCATATGCCGCAAACAATCCAATTTCTGGCTACAAGCCTCCTGGTTACAATTCCATGAGGACCACTATCTTACAACGTGAGAAAACTCACGTAGAGAGATTGATGGAGCCCATCAGGGGCACATGGCAACAGAAGGGAGTCTCCATTTGTAGTGATGGGTGGGCGGATGCACAAAGGAGGCCCATCATCAATTTTATGGCGGTATGTGAGGGTAAGCCAATGTTCTTGAATGCCGTGAATGCCGAGGGAGAAGTCAAGAATAAGTATTTTATCCAAACACAGCTAGAAAAGTGCATCACAGAGGTGGGACCGAAAAATGTCATCCAAATCATAACCGATAATGCTTCGGCATGCAAGGCCGCGGGAGGGCTTGTGGAGCAAACTTGGCCTCACATATTTTGGACTCCTTGTGTAGTCCATACACTCAATCTTGCTGTCAAGAATATTTGTGCGGCTAAGAACACGGAAGCAAATGCCGTGGCTTATGCACAATTACATTGGATTACAGAGATCTCCGATGATGCATTGTTTATGAAGAATTTTATCATGAACCACTCTATGCGGCTTTCCATATTCAATGATTTTTCCAAGATGAAGCTCCTATCAATTGCCGACACAAGATTTGCCTCGTGGATTATTATGTTGAAGAGGTTTAAGGTCGTCAAGAGAGGCCTCCAAGACATGGTCCTTAGTGATCGATGGAGCTTATATAGAGACGATGATGTGGAGAAAGCTCAATTTGTGAAAGAGAAAGTCCTCGATGATTTGTGGTGGGACAAGATAGATTTTATTCTTGACTTCACCGGCCCAATCTATGAAATGATAAGGGTCACCGACACCGATACACCATGTCTTCATTTGGTGTATGATATGTGGGATACAATGATTGAGAAGGTGAAGCAAGCTATTTACAGGCATGAGGGTAAAAGGGATAACGAGGAATCTCCTTTTTATGAGGTGGTTCACAAGATCTTGGTGGATCGATGGAACAAGGGCAACACCCCGCTTCAGTGCTTGGCACTCTTTAGTTCCAAGGTAATATTTCACATTTTACTCTTTAATGCGAATATTTCAATTAATTTTAATACATGAATTTCTTCTCACAAACATAGGTACTATCATTCCACATGGCTCAATGAGAACGTCAATCGGCAACCTCCAAATCAAGATCTTGAGATCTCTACAGAAAGATCAAAGTGCTTAAGAAGATATTATCCTAACCCCGATGAACGATTGGTGGTGAACTTGGAATATGCTAAGTTTATGGGGTCTTTGGAGGCTTTTGGTGATCCGGATTCTCTTTCCGATAGAGGACATATGGATCCAAAGTCATGGTGGCTTCTTTATGGTGCAAGTGCTCCAAATTTGCAAGCATTGGCCGTAAAGCTTTTAGGCCAACCTTGTTCCTCTTCTTGTTGTGAACGGAATTGGAGTACGTATGGTTTCATTCACTCCTTAAAGAGGAACAAGCTAACCCCGACACGGGCGGAGGATCTTGTTTATGTTCACACCAACCTTCGTTTACTTTCTCGGAATTCGGAAGAGTATATGGAAGGGGAATCAAGAATGTGGGATATTGGTGGAGATGCCTTCGACTCATTTCAAGGAGCCGGCATGTTAGATGTTGCTGCCCTTTCTCTTGACGAGCCCACGATGGAGGCCATTGTGTTTGATGAGGATGAAAGAGTTGAATCCATAGAATAATCTTTTTGATGTTTCAACTTGAAAACTTTATTTTAAGATATGCTTTTGAGTGTAATTTTTTATATTTTTGCAATGTTAGTAACTTAGTATTTTGTAGTCATTGAACTAGTTGCAACTTGAACTTTATTCTCTTGTATTTTTATATGCTCAAGATGAAAGTAGTGAAAATTAAAAAATCTAGCCGTGTCGCCGTATCCTATTTTTTGGGGTTTTGCCGTATCCGTGTCCGTGTCCGTGTCGTGTCCGTGTCGCCGTGTCCGTGTCCGTGCTTCATAGCGTTAAATAATATTCTTCTTGTACCTTTAGAAACTTTCACTAACTGCATTAATGCTGCTGCTAAAACTCATCGGCTTCCATTTTACCTTCATATATGCTTTTTAATCTGTTTGCTTTCTTCATATATTACGGCTCATATTTTCTCTATTACTTTTGTTTGGTTTATACTTAGTACTCTTAAATACCACAACTATCTGAATTATTAGCTCAAACCTATGACAGGGCGTGATAATATATTATATATTATATAGTGATGATAGTACGGTGATATGTATATATGTATAGTATGTATACTATATATATACTAGGTATATATTGATATATGTAGTATAGTAAACCTAATATATATGTGAGAAAAAGTGGGGTATGATTTGGTTAACAAGCCAGTAAATTTGTGCTTGGTAGTGATGGGTCTCATTCGATCCACTCATTCAGGTTAGGGACCACATTAAGCCCTATTGTGATGTGGTCCCGCCCATTTGGAGATGAGTGGTGAGGATAAATGATGCCTACTAAACTACAACATCAAGTTCGTGTGGTGCTTTGGTACGTACGGGGGGTCGCAGCCAAAGCGATGACCCAGTATCTCTCTCATTCTCGTCTCTATATATAGATATATATATATATATATTTAAAATATACTATATATAATATATATGAGCATCATGGGTATACTGGTACCAAAACATAAAATGTGCTCTGGAGTGAGCGTGTCAAATCCCCTCCAGCGTCATTCAAATGTGGGAACAAATTCACATGGGTCTTGTAGTGGATGGGATGTGACACAATCATCTACAGCCAGAATTATGTGCTTGGACAAGTATACCCAATTTCTCATATATATTATTATATATATATAATATATATATAATATATATATAATTTTTATGATGCTGCATAGGTTTGAGCTAATAATTCGAGATTAGTTGTGTGAATAATATAAACCAAAACAAACAGTAATAGAGACATAGATATATATATATATGATTAATATATATATATTATATTATATATATAATATATAAATATATAGAAAATGGCGAAACTTGGTAGCCAAGTTGCTTCAAACAACTTGTAAGTGATGGCCGAATCTTGACCCTACATCTACATTGAGTTGGTGAAGGGTGGTTGAGCTTATCGTTTCGAGGTTAGTGATGTAAAGGGTCAAGATTAATCACATCACTACCGAAAGTTGTTTTAGAACAACTGTAACATGTTTCCATATTTCTCATATATATATATATATATATCCTATTATATATATATATATATATATATATATATATATATATATAAACCTCATATTTCAAATTCCAACTGAATGCTATATTAAGGCAGATCTATCAGACACTTTGACTCCTTGATATTATTAAACTCGATAATATAGTGTTGTAGTTAATTACCGGAATTTTAAAACTGATATTCTAAACTTTTATTTTCCATTATCCTTAAATCAGATTAGCAATTAAAATAGCACTTTAATTTAGGTTGGTGCTACATCAGATATTTTATAATATGCATTTTGATCGAGTCTTGCCCTAATCTTCATTAATTATTCAAAACAGATAGCTTGCTAAATATTATCAATTTTATTTATGATTCTTTTTATTAAGTATTTCTTAATTTTCTCTAAGCCAACGATACGTACAATCCGATAATTCCAATCTGAAACCACTGAGAATCCTGGAGTTCCCGATAATGTTATCAGAAGAGCAGAATCAAAACTACGATCAATATTGAAATTTTAAGGACTTCACCCAGGTGAGAATATGTCCTTTATTGTTGAGTAAGGTTGAGGATAAGGCTTTACTTTAAAGGGTTTCTCATAACTTGCTGGACTATGATCCTAGAAAACTAGATATGCTGTAACTGTGTTTTATGAGACCTCTTGCCCTACTTCCAGCTACATCCAGATGGAACCATGATCATCAATCCAATGGATGAAACATGTGATGAATATTATTCTAATTTCTAAAGATGCCATTAACGAAATTGTGGTTTCATCCAGATGGTAAAGCTTCCATTCTCTTTAGTAAATGTACTTTGTGAGTGAGATACTCCTTGTCAATAGATTGTTCCATATATTTGAGATCTGTTATTGAATCATCGACGTCAACCTTGGGTCCTTTAAAACTTGTATCGTTTGAGATATTATTTATTTTTCTTGGATATCTGTATAAACTTTCTGGTGTTTTTACATGTTAATTTATCCCAGACTTCAAGTTTTAGCAAGAAACTGTGATGGTAGACATACACTCTCTATTTTTTTCTGTTGAAACAATAATTTCATTATTTGATCTTCAATACAAATCTTTATGCAGGCTAAAATTAAGGCCATTGAATCACAACTCAGTGAGGCTCTTCATGCTAGTGATGCCAGGTCTACTGTCGGTTCAGAATCTGGATCTTCAGGGGTTCTTTCAACTCCAAAACAAGTGGATAATACTGCTGAATCTTCAGGGGTTACTAGGAAGCTCGAAGAAGAACTGTCAAAGAGAGATGCGCTAATTGAGGTTCGGTATGACTGGCTTGATTTTTTTGTTCCCAAGTGTATTGTCATAGAATGTTGATGAATTTCAATAAATCTGTGGTAGCATTATTTCTCGTCTATCACAGTCAGCAGATCTGATTGCAATTTGGATTGCCGGCATCATCTACCTGTTGTCATTGGAAAGTATTGTTCATGTTGATGATATTTGGGGCATGGATTAATCATTTGCGATGAATTTTTGTTTGTATGTATTTCATTGTAAAGTGCAGTTACCACTCACTAACTGTCCTTAATTCTAACCCACTTGCTTAGACGTTGAACTGAGTTGAGTCAAGTTTAGTTGGATGAAGCTGTTTAAATTACCTGATTGAGTTTAGGGTTAATTCTAAGGAGTAGAGCGACCAACCTTATATGACAAAATCAACTTTTATCTGAATAACAAGGAATCTTTAATCCACATTGTCATATTACGTGTACAAAACTACCAAGATTACAGAAAGCGCTAGGTGGTCTAGGCTTCGGACCGGCACCTAGAGCCTAGGTGCCTAGACAGGACTTAGGTGTTTTCCTATTTTTTATTACAATCAAAGTTATTGAAAGCGCTAGGCACATGCCAACTTGGTGCCTAGCACCTTGGCGCGAGGCCTAGGAGGATTTTTTTTTTTAATTTAAGTGGTGTCGGAGGAGGTTTTGTTGAAGGTCGGAGGAGTTAGAGGAGATGTTTGTAGTCGGTGGAGGCTGCCAGAGGAGTTTGGAGGAGGTTAGAGGATGTAGAGGCAAGTCAGGCAACAACAAAGAAAATCACGACCAAAATCTAAACGGTGCAGTCCGCGTAAGCGGTCTCTGCTCCCTAGGCGATCCCAACACGAAGGCGGGTGTCCTAGGTACTGCTTGGGCCTAGGCAGGAGCATTTTAAAACATTGAAAACTACAACGAACTATGAAAATAAAACTGGTCTAATGTTCAGTTGCTTTTTTAGTGTGTTGTTAGTTGTAATCTTCAGTTGTTTTTTGTTATAGTTTGTTGTTTTACTTCAACCTTTTGTTCTTTTGAGCTTAGTTTTGTCAATTAATCGTAAGCCTTAATGTGGTGCATGTTCACACCAATTTTCAAATTCACATCCAGAATTGGGGGTACCATTGATGATCAAATCCTTGATCAGTGCTACTATTTAGTGGTCTCTGCAACCTATTTTGCCTTCACAGTTACAAAATTACCAATTGTTATAACTGCCAATTGTTACAAAAGCTTTTACATTTTTCATCTACGATTATGTAACTGTTGTCTCTTTCAGAATGACGTCATAATCTCTCACCACATTTGAAACAATGTATCCTACCTTTTTCTATTCTTTCTCTAAGTTGTACACCTATTCTATTTCTCGTTAGTCGTTACTGTCTCCTGATTGGTTTCTGAACTGCGTGGGAGACTTGGAAGTCAAAATAAGAACCTAAGATGTGAAGTCTCAATAAAGTTGACACAAGAGTGTCAATTATCCTTTTCATTCGTTTTATCTAGCTTATAACCTTCAAACTCTTCTCAAAAACATTCATATCATATCTACTCCATCCATCACTCTGGATCAGTCTTCTGCCTCTCTGAGTCTGGTCACGTTTGTTCGAGCCTAAGCTAGTTATTAACGTCTATGTCTGGTGGTTTCTTTCTCTTTATTTGGTTGTTGATTTTTGTTTTAAATACTGTTTGGGCCTAGTATTTGTTCACTGCACTAATTGCACTCTATAAACTTTGGGATGCAAATCAAGTGATTTATGGATCTAATAATCTATTACTCAATTATACTAAAACCTAACTGATAGTTTTATTTGCAGTTTAACTTCTTCATATTGTGATTGCAAGAGAAACTGAACATTTTTCTATCCTAGTAGATTGCAAGTAAAGGCTCTTAAAGGTTTATGTTAGGTGATCAAAGATCTGTAATCTTGTAAAGAGATCATTTTCTTTACTAGTTTTTGAATGAAAGAACATTGACATTGCTTGATGTATGGATTCTACACAACTATTTAACTAACTAGATAGCATGATAATCTTTCCAAGTATGCAATTTTGTGTGTTGCTATTACTAGAACTCTTGTCTTTGTCAAATTCTTAGTACATTGCACCCTTAAGAAGATCAAGAAAGCGCTTGAAAAGGAACCCATAACACCTGCAGTGGATGTCGAATTCACTTGGTTCATGAAATTCTACTAACATGTTGCAACTGTTTGCTCTGCATCTATCCTCTTTAATGTTTATTTAGGCAAGAGGATGTAATTACACCGCTTCTTTGTATTTCAGTGTTTTCTGAGGTTTTGTTTGGAAGATAATGCTTGTAGAGGCTTATGTTTTTTTTATCATGTTACTTTTGCAGCGTTGATGAAATCATAGTCAACGCCTCTAGTTAGTTGAGTCTATATTTATTTGTTTTAAGTAGAAAACAACAGTACTGGGTGAAATAACTCATTAAACTTGTTGAAATCGCAAATCATTATTTTAACGAGGTTTAACCTTAAATGATTGCATGATAAGAAATTTTTGGTTCCCATAAACTTCAAACTTTATTTATGGTCTAAGCTGTCCTAATTGGCCAAAAACAATGTTTGCTTTGGCGTAAGATTGGGTCCATAGACTTAGCTAGGGCTAGTAATGTCTCACATGATCTGGTTTTTGATCAGTATTATTGATATATGAAAATATATAGCTATTTTTTATTTCTCAGACCCAAAAGTTTACACGAGTTAATGGAGCATGATATATTGCAATCCTATTTCGAACCTGTTTCTTAGCAGTAGTGTTTTGATATCATGTTTTGTTTAGCAAATCCTAGCATATGTATAACCGACTGTCAATATCTTGTGCATTAGACTCTGTCCTTCATCTAGTGATAGTAGGTGCCAGTACTGGGACTCAAAAAAAAAAGCTATTTGTTTATGAATCAAATCTGCACTGAGTGCATAATAAGTTTTAAGAATAAAATCTGTAATTTCTAGGTGGATTGATGCTGCCATAGCGTTTAACACATGAGCTTGGTAACAGAAGCCTATTTCTGCACCAGGATGTTGTCAGTAAGTATAATGAATAGTAGGATAGGTTCCGACTTCTGCCTGACAGCAGACAACCTATTGATTTGTTATACCATCTACTCATTTCTTCTATCAGTTATTGCATTCTAGGTAAAGCCTGTTTGTTAATAGTGTATATATGACATCTTTTGCACATGCTTGATAACTTCTTTCTGAATTTAGATGCATATGCAGTAAGTGATGATCTTTATTACTCTAATTTTCTAACTTTTTTGTTCTACCATTTGTATAATTCTATATATTTTTTTGGGAAATACCTTTTTTTGGTCAAATTTTTATGTAATAACTAGTTTTCCATGGTTTATTGCTGTTAATTTTGTTATTCCTGCAGAAGTTACACAAGGAGAATGAGAAGCTGTTTGACAGATTGACTGAGAAGGCATCATTGAGTGGATCACCACAGGTTTATTCTCTTAACACTTATTTACGATTGTCTTATTTTCATCGATGTTCTCACTCATTCAAGCTATTTGAGTAACATGGATCATTACTATTCTCCTTTTGGACATTTTATCCTAAAATTTAGCGGTTTACAATGTTTGGAAGGCAAAATTATTAAGGAATATCACTAGGTTGGGCAGGATCCAAAAAAACATTCTTAGAGGGGTGGATGACAAGCATTTATTTATCTACAAATAAAAATATAATATTATAAAACTATAGTACTCAATGAGAATGTAACTCCATACACTTCATCAGCTTCATTGTGTCATATTTATGGATTGCCTGCAATGAATCCATATGTGTTTCATGTTTGAACGAGAATCTACTTTTGAATGCCAGGCTAAACTCAAATAGACTGCTAATTTGTTTAGTGATTATATAATTGGGGGTTGGGATGCAAAAATTTTAAAACTATATGGGGCAGATTGTAAGTTTAGAAAGCCTTACAGGAAAATTTTCATATAAGCGTATGGTTAAAATAAAATTTTCATAGTAATTGGGGCGTGCAGCTGGGCCGACGCCGCCCGCCCCCCCCCCGCCCAAAAAAAAAAAAAAAAAAAAAAAAAGGTAATATGTAAAATCCGCTCCTGGGCATGACTACTTCTGATATTGTGATAAGGCATCTTTACTTGTTTGGTCAGAATCTAAAGTTTCACTCCATCCATTATGTATAAGAAACACCATATCAAATTTTCCCAAAAAGTAGTTGAAGGTTTGGTAGTCTTCCTGAAAAATTTTTAGTTTCTTCAACATTTTAATAAAGATATATTCTGGTAAATTTTAGGTGGGATGTTTGAGAATTTTTTTTAAAGATGTGACCACAAAAACTTTGGTCATGTCTCTTCAAATCATATTGCTCTATTTTAAACTACTTTTAGGTCTTTCATGATCACCGAATTCTGTTGAGTTGTACCTTTCAGTGGGTTATATTCTTTGAAATACTAAATCCTCTCTAAAGTACATTTTTACTTTTAAGCATATTCTTTGACATCTTTGGTGGTTATGTTGACATTGACATCTTTGGTGGTTATGTTGACTCTTTAAACTAAAGTAGAATATGCAATGTGATGGTTATAGGGATCTTTCTTTGACATTTTTTTATTAAATTATGCGACCAAAAAGTAGCTTCTTTCTGAGAATCTGGAAAAAAGATTGTGCCAGTTTTGATCAATCACACTTGAACTCTGTGTCTGGAACTCATGGCAATGCTAAGAACATTGCTGAACATTCCTACTACATTTTATTTGTATAAGACTGGTTCAATTAAATTATACAAATTAAATCCTGTAGTTTGATTTCTTATCTTAAATATTTGCCATAGGTTTCAAGTCCTTCTACAAAAAGGCTAGCAAACCCACAGTCACGCGACATGAACAGGTACAATGTGTAATCAAATATTTTTTTCCAAACAATTAATATTTTTGTCATTTTCTAGCTTACTTGAAATGTATATTCATTTCTTATGTATATTGCAGGAGAGACAGTAGCAGTGGGCGCTCCCTGGATGTTCTCCCACCTGCAGTGAGCCAGGGAAAAACTGAAAGCACAGGAGCACTAGTGAAATCAGGCACTGAAAAAGCAAAAACACCTGCTGGAGAATATCTTACTGCTGCCCTGATGGACTTTGATCCTGATCAATTTGAAAGCTTTGCTGCTATTGCTGATGGTGCAAACAAGCTCTTGATGCTGGTATTTTTACTAGATGTTCAAAATCAGTAGTTTGTTTCATTACTCTTTTCAGTAATGTTGATTTAGGTGTGAAGAATTTCGTCACCTTGTTGCATAATATTGATACCTTAGGGTGAGATGTGTTTTCAGATAGGCAACTTAGCTTGGACCTTTATTTCAGCCCTAAAGCCAATAGGCAGGGTAGATATGGATCCAAAGATATGAAAGTCCTATTGCAGTATATTCGATATGGCCTCATACGATCAAAGAGAAGAATTTGTGACTGAGGCTATTCCGTGAAACATTCTAAAACAGTAAAACTATGAACCTAACAATTTTAATGCTGAATTTCTGTTGTGTAACAATTTTAATATATTCATCTATTTTATTGATGGGTTACAAGGCTTCTCAGACTTTTTTCCTAGCACAAAAAACAAACCTTCTTGATGTCCAACTCCTTAGACACGTGCACGCACATGTTTGCAGATGCTTTCTTTTAAAAAGAGTTGCCTTACTATATTGCAGGTTTTGGCCGCAGTAATTAAAGCTGGCGCTGCACGGGAACATGAGATTCTCGCTGAAATCAGAGATGCAGTTTTTTCATTTATTCGTAAAATGGAACCAAAGAGAGTAATGGATACCATGCTAGTTTCTCGGGTTAGAATCTTATATATAAGGTCATTGCTCGCTAGATCACCAGAGCTGCAGTCCATCAAAGTAATATAATCTTCGATGTTGGCATCTACTTTTGTTTACTCAGCTTTCCATTTTATATAGTTACAGAATACTCTTCTAACTATTCTCTCTTTTTGAAGGTTTCTCAAGTGGAACGTTTTCTTGAGAAAGCTAATCATGGACGAAGTAGAAGTTCCAGCCGTGGTAGTAGTCCAGGCAGGTCTCCTGTTTACTATGATTCTAGGAGTGCTTTGGTTGATGAACATCATATTCACAGCTTTAAGGTCAATATAAAACAAGACAAGAAATCAAAGTTCTCATCAATCGTCCTAAAGCTTCGAGGAATCGACCAGGTACAGATGTTGATTTATCTGTTAGGCATTAGTATTTTTATTTTTCTGAATGATTATAATTGTGATGGACAATACATTCTATAGGTAGTAACTTGATATTGTTGGAGTGCTTGCACATTGATTTTCCTGAAAATTGTAACAACTTAGACAAGTCTAAGTCTAATAACACAATTGAGTTTCTGGTGAAACTTTTTTTGTTATCCTGCTTTGGTAAAGCATTAGACGTACTTATTTTTTTACCTTCATTTTATATCTTGCAGGAAACTTGGAAGCAGCATGTAACTGGCGGCAAGCTCCGAGAAATTACTGAAGAAGCTAAAGCTTTTGCGATGGGGAACAAAGCTCTTGCTGCTCTCTTTGTTCACACGCCAGCTGGTGAGCTGCAGCGTCAAATACGATCCTGGCTTGCTGAAAACTTTGATTTTCTTTCTGTCACTGAAGGAGATGCTGTTGGAGGCACTACTGGACAGTTAGAACTTCTGTCAACTGCAATTATGGATGGATGGATGGCTGGTCTTGGTGCTGCACAACCTCCTAGCACTGATGCTTTAGGCCAGCTGCTAGCTGAATACACTAAGCGGGTTTACACTTCACAATTGCAGCATCTGAAGGTCCAACTTAGAGCAGTCCACTTATTTTTCCTATGGTGACCTTTTTTTCTGTTCTTGCCCATCTCCCACATGCGTATGTTAATCACTCTTTGGTGTCTGCCATGCTTTTTTTACCAATTAGTTCTACACGTTTCTGGTAAACGTTCCTATATAAGAGACGTACTACAACATCCGCATAACTAGTCCGAGACATGGTTATGAAAAATATGCACTTTCACTAAAATTAGTCTGTACCTTATACATGGAAATGCACTAATCCAATTGACACATGACTATTCATACCATATAAAAGTTACTTCATCGGCATCAAATAGTTTTACCACATGTTGAAAATCTTGGCTCTTTTTCGAAGGAATGGTATAATGTCCTGTCACAATAGGCTTACATTATTTTATGTTGACGTCAAACTCTTCTTGCATTAGTTGTAATTATTTTATGGCCGCAAGGGTAAGGTTACTGCCTTGTGAGGTCAAGGTTTCGAGTCTCAGAAACAACCTCTCTGCTGTCCACATGCAGGGGTGTGACTGCATACATCCAGGGCCGTACCTAGGAATTTTGGGGCTAAGGAGAAATATTAGATGAGGCCTAAGTGATACAACTCATAATAGATTTTATCTCATTCTTCTTACGTTTTAAGCTGCAAAATTACTAATTAAAGTTTTGTATTCAATATTTTCTAACATATTATTTTTGATAGATAATACTGCTAAACCATTCAATCTATTTTGTAACATGGTCGATCTTAAATAAGATTTAAGTAATTTTAATTTTAAAAAACTTCTTTCAGCGGAAGCAATTGTTACGGTTATAGTCAATAATACACGATAAATAATACAAGTATTTGGAAAAAAATCTAACCACTTTATATAGTTCAACACTTCAATTGGATTATTAATCTCTACTTTTAAAATTTTCCTAAGCACTCTCAATTTTGAAAACAAATCAAGTCCATTAATATCTAAATGTTCATCATGTTTTAGTGTATTTTTGAGATTAAGACAATATTCTTTCAATTCAATATCATCTAAAGCTTTTAATTTTTTCAAATCAAACAAAAAACCAATTTTTTTCATACGTTTTAAATTGTTCAAACCTACTTTCAATTGAGCTAAGCGATTTATCAACTATGTATAAGAAATATTCAATACGAAAAGATTCTTCAGCGTTAAATATTGTTTCATTACCAATATTTTCATCAAATTGTTTTTTCTATGAATTTTACGTTTTTCACGAAATATAGGCTGTACGTTCATTTCATTAGCAAGTTCTTTAGTTGAATTCAAAGCAGACATAAAACCATTTTGTCTATAATTTTCTAAATATACAATAAGACCTTTTAATTGATCTATGATAATATCAATATGCTTATCTTTAGATTGTAAGATTTTTTTAATAACTGAATTAACAGCAAACAATATGTCATACCAAATATTCATAGCTAATAAGAATTCAAAATTTTCAATCTCATAAGTTGCTAAGCTATTAGCTTCACTTTTTATCTTTGGATATTCACTAATTTCTGCTAATTGAATCAAAGCAGCTCTTATATTTGGAGCTTGAAATTTTATTGCTTTAACACTTTCAATCCGAATTTTCCATCTAGTTTGAGATAAAGATTTAACGGATAACTTGCATCCATTATCTCCTAAAAATTTTCGTCGTTTAGTAGAGGAAGCAAACAACGAGTATATACGTTGCAACACTTCAAAAAAAGAAATAGCTCTAGGACATGAATTAGCTATATCACATAAGACTAAATTTAAATTATGACAACCAAATGATGTGTAGAATACTCTAGGATTTATATCTAATAGCCTCTTTTGCACTCCATTGTGTTTTCCTTTCATATTAGATCCATTATTATAACCTTACCCTCTTATTTCTTTAACATCAAGTTCATATTTTTTCAAAATACTTAAAAGTTCATCAAAAAGGCCTTTGCCTGAAGTATTATCTACTTTTAAAAACTCTAAAAAGTATTCTTCAATCTTTATTGGACTTGTTGAAGTATCAACACATCTTAAAATAAGAGTCATTTGTTCTTGATGACTTGCATCTGGAGTAGAATCAAGAATAACTGAAAAATATTTTGCTTATTTTATTTTTTTTAATGATAATTTTTTTTTAATTTCAGAAGCTAGCAACTCTATTAGTTCATTTTGCATTTTATGACTAAGATAATGATTTTGAATTTTACCTTCTTGAACACGTTTAACATGTTCTTGCATTATGAGATCAAATTCCGCTATCATTTCAACTAAGCTTAAAAAGTTTCCCTTATTTTTTTCATATATCTTTTCTTTTGTTCCTCGAAATGCAAGATTATTTTTTGATAGATGTTTTACTATAGCAATAAGTCTTAGCAAAACTTTTTTCAAGTGTTCTTTTTCTTTATTAATTTGTTCTTGAATGTTTTTATCTATTGTCTTATTTTTTTATAATCTTACTTCTAAATTCACTCATTTACACATATTAGTGATATGTTCATGACTTGTTTCATGATTTTTATTTTTATATCCAAGATTTTTCCAATCTCTAGTACCTTCGTTAACTGACTGACTTATACTAGATTTTAAACTAAATAATTTGCAACAAAAACAATAAACTCTTATCTAAATCTTTTGAGTAAACTAACCACCTTCTTTGATGTTTTTCTCCAATTGACAATTTTTGTATGTAATATGATGTAGAAAAGTGTCTATTATTTTCATCTTTAGAAAAATCTACTTCTTCATATTTAATTGGGCCTTTTTCAACTATTAGATCTATAAAATTTTGATCAATACATTTCCATTGTCCAAGATCATAAATATTGATAAGAATTGAATTTAATATCTCATTCATCTCTAAATTTTTTTCTTGGCCCTCATGTGAATTTTCTTTATATTCTTCATTAAAATTAGGAGTACTATCTTTTTCTTCTTGAATATTATTATCATTAATATCATTATTTTGTCCTAAATTCTCAACATATTCTTCTAATTCATTCTCAAGTAAAGATTCATCTTTAATATCATTATTTTGTCCTAAATTCTCAACATATTCTTCTAATTCATTCTCAAGTAAAGATTCATCTATTCTTTCTTCTTCTGTTGAAGTTGATGTAACATTATCTTTATTACTAAAAATAAATTTATCAAGAGCTCCTTGTTGAGACCGAATTAATTTTTCAACTCTTTTTCTTTTTTTTTTAAATTTTTGACAACCAATTTCATATTTTTTATTAGGCGTGCTTTCAAAATATAAAATAGCAAATAAAAAACTTTCAATGTATATCTACAATATCTCTAATTAAGCATAAAATTAATATGAATAATAAAGAAAATTAAATAGTTTTAGTTAGAAAGATAGAACCGGAGTTTGTTTTGGGAAAATAACTCAGGTCTGGACGCCGCCTTTTTCCGATGACGAGACAAAGCCCAGGATGTGAGCTGTGAACGGTAATAGGCTAACGGCGATTGGTTCAGTGAGGTTATCAGCAACGGCTGCCAGGCTGCGGTGATCTCGAGATAGAGAGGGAAGAAGAGAGAGATTGACGAGAGATGGAGATCAGCCGATCAGGGTAGGGTTGAGCTGTTTGGTGGAAGCTTGACTGCTTGAGAATGAGAGAGAAAGGGCGTCGCTTTGGTAAAAAAGATGAGAGAAAGGGAGTCGGTTTAGTTTATTTAAAGAAGGAAAGTGGGTGAGAACCTCTTATTTAATTAAGGGATATGAAGAAAAGTCTTTTCAACTTCATATAACGTTAAAATTTAGCCTTTTAGATAAATGATAACAGCTAAGAGAAATTAAGTGGGTGGGCCCTACTCAGGATGAGGCCCAAAGCAGAGGCCTTGACTGCCTAAGGGTAGGGCCGGGCCTGCATACATCTAACACTCTCCAGAGCCCACAATGGTGGGAGCCATGTGGACTGGGGCGCCCTATCTTTCTAGCCGTATTCGTGATGTGTTCTATACATTGTTTGCCAAGTTGTTTTTATTGAAGAGAATAGAGGGGATAATTCTAAAGTTAAAATGTGGAAAGGTGATTTAATTAACATGATAAAGAAATGAATGCAACTATCAAAACTATGAAAATAGATGTAAGTTCATATTATTGACCAAGAAGAGATAAGAATGGCCGTGTTCATTGCACAGAATTAACCATTCATCATCCGAGTGAAATGAAATATGGAGAATATTGTGCATAGAAATGTGGAGAAGCGCTTCTAAAGTACTATGTGAAGTGTCGAATACCCATGAAGTTTAAGGCAACTTTTTATAAAATGCCTATATTATCCTTGATTCTTTATTGATAAGAATGTTAGCAACAAAGGAACAAGCTACTGAAAACGGGCGTCAGTGACATGAGAATGTTGAGATGGATGACCAACACAAGAGAAAGATAACAAAATGAGTGAATCTGTGAAGCTTTGGTATGTGCAGCATAAACCAACAAGTGCATTATGGAGGGAGTATCTGGGACTGGGGAGTAAGGTGACTAAGGCAGTGAAAAGGATATTATTGTGCTAATTAGCTGGAAATGGGCTACCCAATTTTTATATGACAAAGTTTGACTGATGAGATCATCTGCGTGAGTGATGGTGTGACACTAGCAAATTTGAAGACTGCTTTCAATTCTATTTATATTTATGATTCTCAAGTTTGTATTTTCACTTTTGCACGTAGCTGGATTGAACTGGGCCAATTTCACTAAATTGTTGTGGGCCTAAACAAGTCTCTTATCAATTTTTAAGCATCTGTTGCTAAACATATTTTTTGTTAGTTAAACAGCCTTCTTTTTTTTGAACTTTCCTTTCTTTCTTTCTTTCTCGTTCATTTTTTTCTTTCTTTCATTATTTCTGTCTGGAATATTGCTTGTTAAGCCTGGTGTCTGAAGAACTAAATCCAGCAGTAAATGTTAGTTGAAGAGGTTACAGGCACAAATATCTTGGATCCTTTTTGTTCATCAGTTTAATTTGACAAGTTATTTATGATGTAATGAGAATGTCACCTATGATGTTCTTTGCAGTGAAATATTCAAAAGTTCGCAGTGGAATGTTACACATCTCCTTTTGAGAATTGTTATTATTATTATTGTTCGTTTCTACAGTTAGCTTTAATGGAGAATTTTTTTTATTTGACATTGAAAGAAAACTGCCACTTAGGTTTTTATTTTTTTGGTTATTATTGTTGGATTGTACTATGAAGAGAAAGGGATTAGGTTTTTTGGATATTATATTTGTTTCAAGACTTGCCTCTATACCATATAAAATTCGAGCAGAAAAGAACTACTAGTAAATACTACGAAGTATATGTCCTTGAAATATACATACATATTACATGCCTAATAATCATAGATATATGCATTTATGTAATTTGTAGATATATAATGTATTTATGCGCACACAAAGGAGTACATCTGTATATGTATGTAAGCATTAATCACCAAAAGTAAAATATAGGTCTATCAGTTTCACCCAAAATCAAACTGAAACTTGAAAGTTGGAACGGAAAATTCTAGGTACTGAAACTTGAAAGTTGGAACGGAAAATTCTAGGTACTGAAACTTGAAAGTTGGAACGGAAAATTCTAGGTACTGAAACTTGAAAGTTGGAACGGAAAATTCTAGGTACTGAAACTTAATGGAGCTTATGAAACCTAGATGTTCAAAACGGGACCATTTTCTCATATCTTTGGATATCTTGACATTGCAAATATTTTTGTCCATGGAAACAATATATTTTGTATCTCTTATTTTATGTACATTACAAGCTTGAATGCAAATTTTAGGTGATATTTTAGAAACTAACCTCTCTATAATGCCTTTTTTTAATTAGGATATAGCAGGTACCTTGGCCACAGAGGAGGCAGAAGATTTTGCTCATGTAAATAAACTAAGATCTGCTTTGGAGTCGGTTGATGTCAAGAGAAGAAAGGTGGTTGCATGCACGTCTTACTTTCCCTCATCAAGTTATTTACTTTTCTTTGTGTATGGTCTGGTTAATGGTTTCTGTTATAGTAATTAGTGATTAGGATGTTTGGATATTTTAAATTTTAAGTATTTATTCAAAATTAAATATTTGAAACCGATATGGAGGGCGAAGTTTGTATAAGATTGGATATGATAGAAAGATTTAAGATAAGATCTTTAAAAGAGTGGAGAAAGTTCAATTAAGACAGATTCTTGAGAGAGTGTGTAAGAGAAACAAAAAATAATAGGAGAGAGAAAAGGAGTGATTACGCTACTGCTTCTGCTTCTACTGTTGAAAGAAGTCCAAAGACACTGACTTCTACGTACCACAACATTTTATTTGTGCTTATATTAGAGGTCCTTTCATGAATTGATTACCAAACACTTAAATTTTCTGGAAGGCGCTTATTTTCTTTAGAAGTGGTGACAGTACTTACATAAACAAACTCAAACATACCCTCAATATTGTCAAGAGTCGGTCGGCTCTCTACATGAGTACACCAGAAATGAGCATTCCAAACCATTTTTCATCATATATGGGATAAGATAGAATAGCTAACCTCGGTATGTGCTGTGCACATGCAATTAATTGTTTGTAAATCACATAGAAGTGTATGAACAAGTCATAGTTCAGCTGTATGAGGATGTATATGGAAAAAAGTGACAGAAGGACAATATTTGCATGTATATTATGCTGTAGTTTCAACTTTCACATGGGCACAAAATTGCAGGTCTAGAAATACACTTGTAGGTACTTATGTCGAGTAAAAAATTTGCACCGAGCAACACTAGGTGTCTTAAGGGATTGAAATAACTAGCTATCAATGTTATCCGTTGAACATGTCCTAATTGAATGTGACACAGTTATTTTCTGTATCAGAACTGACAAGAATGGAGATTAAATATGTTTGTGAGATCTTCAGATACGGGTTTGTGGGCTCTTTTTCTGAAATTCTGTTGAATTCTAACGTACGGTCAGTCACTACTTGTTGGATCACACGAATCATGAGCACTGCTTCAGATAAATGCCTCCTCAGGCTACTTCACCTTCAATAAAACAAATTATGTGGTCAGAGACGGTGTAGTTTCATGCATTTACATTCATGTTCAAGATAAAAGATTTGTATGATACAGCATGCTTGCTCAGGCAAATTCCACCCTCAATAAAACAAATTGGGAGATGATGCATTTTAATGCATTTATGTATGTTACAGCATGCTTTCTCAATATGCTACCTAGATGGACGTTGTTGCAATGTCATTCTGTGTACTGAAACCACACAGTTTCATACAGAGCTGTTCCTGCTTTATGCAACATGTTTAAATCTACTGTTTTTTTTTCCTGGGCAAGCAATCTATATGTCTGCGCAGTCTGTTATTTCTTATAGCCTTGTAAAAATTGTGTTTCCTGATACTATCATGGCAGTGAATGCTTCTTGGCCTCTGGCTCCAAAGTAGGCTAGAGAATTTAATTACCTACTATCACTTTAATCAACCAACTTTGGGTGATTTGTGTCACGTTAGCAGTTTCATTATGTACACTGTTCTTTTTGAAAATGGTAACATTTTTCTTATTTCTAATAGTTGTATCTTCTTGACGTGAACATTCTACTTTCAAGTCATCAACTTGGCACAATACTCTGTTTTCTTGTTTGAAATATTCGTCGAAGTTGCATTGTTTTCATAAGTATTGTAAGCTTGCTGCAACTTCCTATTTTCAGATTTTGCAACAAATGCGAAGTGATACTGCCTTGTTAACAAAAGAAGAAGGTGGTTCACCAATCAGGAATCCTTCCACTGCAGTTGAAGATGCTCGGTTGGCATCTCTCATATCTCTGGATGGCATGCTTAAACAAGTCAAGGTCACTCCTGCTGACTTTGATTGATTTCTGCATGATTCAGTTTGCGCATTTCTTTTATTTGATATCTAAATAATGGAAAACTGACCTTATGCCACAGGAAATAATGAGACAAGCATCTGTAAGCTCCCTGACCAAGACCAAGAAGAAAGCATTGTTAGCTTCACTTGATGATCTCACAGAAAGGATGCCTTCACTTCTTGATATTGATCATCCTTGTGCCCAGAAGCAGATTTTAGATGCTCGCAGAGTAGTAGAGGTATGCTCTTCAAGTGATTGTATCATCCTAAAAGACTGCCTTCTTTAGTTCTGAACCCTAATGTTTGGTTTTTGGTTTAATATGCATAGATTTTAGACCCGTAATTATTTATAACATATCATTTTGGTAAAATTACACTTGTAAGAAAACCTTTCCTCCATTGATGACATCTCTGCAATACTAGAGTAGATAACAGACTCTCTAATGTAATTTTTTTGTCATCTCCCTGTAAGAATGCTCTTGCAATTTTGCTTTGAATCGACAATGATGTTTGACTGATAAAATCCATTATAGTACTCTGAACTCGATGTGTCGTCTCTCCGGGGTTCCTATAAGAGGTGTCCTAGAAAACAATTAAGTACAAGAAGAGTGAAAATATCGTTTTTCCTCTTATCTTGCGGTGGACATCTGCACACACAGACACATCTTATGGTGAGCTTCCCATATAAACTGATCTATAACTGTGAACAACCATATATATAGTTCATATTCCTCACACATGACCTCAGCTGTTCCCAAAGGTAAGTCCCTTGGCTAAAGGGAGGCCCTTGTGTCACAAAGCTAGTAGCATTCTGGCATAAAAGGAATCATAGCCTACAATCACGTACTACATGCATATTTCCTTGTGCTCCTCAAGGAGAGTTACATTTACACCCAACATACGATTTATGAAATGCTTTCGAGTTGCAAATATATAAGAAGTTCAGAACAATAAAAGTCATATGGATAACATAAATTGAGTTCAAGAGTTTAGTACTGCCCATCACAATTATTCTTTATTAAATTTTTTTAGTAAAACTCAATAAAGAGTAATCATTCAGTACTTAATAAGTTTTCCGCATCCTGATTATGAGCAGTCCATACCCGAAAATGATGGTAATACCAATGAAGAATCGAGAGCACTCCAACCCTATGTGGCAGATTCAATGTCCAGCAGGGAGACTGAAGTGACTCAGTGGAACGTGCTCCAGTTTAACACAGGTTCAACAACTCCATTCATCATTAAGTGTGGAGCAAACTCCAGCTCTGAGCTAGTGATTAAAGCAGAGGCAAAAGTTGACCCAAAAGGCAATGAGATCATTCGAGTCCTTCCAGGGCCGTCAGTCCTTGCTGATATGAGCTTTGAGGAGATCAAGAATGTTTTTGATCAGTTGCCTGAGGCTATAAGCCTCTTGGCCCTTGCTCGAACAGCTGATGGTACTAGAGCCCGATACTCGAGACTGTACAGAACTTTGGCTTTAAAAGTTCCTTCTCTGAAAGATCTGGTCTCAGATCTGGAGAAAGGGGGGATGTTGAAAGATGCCAGGTCCTGAATGTATGAGCATATTGTACTTGATGGTCCTGTAACTTATGTAAAATTGCACGATTGTCAACCTCGAAGAGTACCAAGGTTTTCACATCCTGTAATTTATGTAAAAGTTGTATTTCCATTTTTTTTCTTTTTCAATTAAGCATAGTGCTTTATTATCAGATCTGATTAGTAAATGGGGACTAACTATTGGTACATCGATGTTTTGCGGTGAGAGAATCAGCCCCACCAGGATGTTGATTTGCTTGCTGGCTTTGTTGGTTATATTTAAAATCAGGGGATTTAGTAAACCTATAAAATTGAAATCTCATTATTTTCTATATGATGCAATACGGATGTTAAGTTTTTCCGAGCAAGCACTTGGTTGACTTCAGTTCACAGTATTGATGTTGAGGATGGTATTGGTGGTGAACGCATGCTAACGGTTACGAAATAAGAGTGAAATTGCTGCAAAGTTTGCTCGCGCATGATATAAATTTGACAGGAAACATAGTGAAATCTGGAAGCGGGTATTAAAGTGGAGTGGGCTTGAAAGTTTAGGGTATAAAAGTGTTAAAAAAAATACTTTGAGGTATTCAAGTGAGGGGAAAAAATGGTCAACTTTGGCAATGATTAATGTTCCACAAATGTGGGCATTTGCAATTCCAAAACAGTAACAATGGAACTATGATAATGAGAATGAGTTAACAAGCGATGATGAAAGTAAAAGAACATAAGCAATTGCTACATTATACTAGTGGAACCGAGGAAGCTACGATGATGCAAGGGATTTTCCAAAATTGCAGGCAATAAACTATAGTTTAAAAAAGCTGTACAAAGAGGTTAATGTGCCAAAAGTTGGGGATGATTACCAGTCCAAAGGCCCCCTTAATATATTGCTTAATATAAGGCTTAATTGCATTTTTAAGACTTGCACTTATATAAAGTTTTTTGAACTGGCATTTAAATATCCTAAGATTTTTTAAAATTTACACTTAAATGCTGTCAATTTTGCGACACACTCAGTTATGCTAAAGTTTTTAAAAACTTTAGGATATTAAAGTGCATGTTTTAAAGACATCAGAGTATGTAAGTGCTGCGAAAATCAAGTGCGGGAATGTAACTAGAAGTTTCAAAAACTTTATGGTACAGTTGCTAGGGGTGTGCAAACGGTCGGTCGGCTCAATTTTTACCAAAATTTGAACAACCGAACCCGTCCGCCTATAATTCAAAATCGAACCGAACTGTTGCAAGTCGGTTCAGTGCGGTTCGGTTCGGCTTGTTCGGTTCTAACTTTATCAAACATGTTATCAAACAACATAATGTGTTAAAGAAAAAAAAAGATATCAACAAAGTAGAAGATTATGAAGCATTAAACACTGATATTGTTTTTAACCCATAATGATTGAGGTCCTAATAGTTACAAGGAATGAACTCACATCCATCCAAACAAAACGTAAGCATTTCTCAAGTACAAAATTTGAGTTCAAAAGTTTCATTCCTAAGAGCTCACTCCCCTATTTCCTACGATAACCAGAGAGGGCCAAAGAAGGGAGTATGTCAAAAATTCCTCGTAAATCCTCTTCATTGCTTTTCCAGCTTTAGTCGTCATCCTCATCGTCGTCCTGCGATATACAAAAAAAAAGCTAGAAGTTAGAACTAACAAGAGAGCCACTAGAACTAACAGGGGCTCAACTAGAACTAACATACCACTAGAACTAACGTTTATATTAGAAATAACACTAGCTGGAAGTTAGAACTAACATGACATCAGCTAGAATTAACACGAGAGCCACTAGAGCTAACATAGACTCAACTGGAACTAACATACCACTAGAACTAACATTTATATTAGAAATAATACTAGCTGAAAGTTAGAACTAATACGAGAGCCACTAGAACTAACATACCATTAGAACTAACGTTTATACTAGAAGACTGTGGACTGTGCGAACACTGCGGAGTGCGAAGCGCGTTGGAGAAGTGACCGAGTGAGAGAGAGAGTGAGTCGTGAGAGAGAGGAAATGAGGAGCGGCGGCTGGGAAAGGGAAAGTGGAATGAGTTTAGGTTTGAGTGACTGAGTCTTTGGGGTAGTGGGTCGGGTTTGAGATTCGGGTATTGCACTATTGGGTATTCGGCCGGTTTGGGTTGGTTCGGATTGAAAAGTTTTCAACCAGACCCGAACCGCCCTACTCATAAAACCGATTTTTTCGGGTCGGTTCAGTCGGTTTTTTCAGTTTGGACCAAACCATGCTGCCCTAACAGTTGCTGCTAAAAACAACTGAGGGTACATGGGTCCAAGTTGCAACATAGGGAAAACTACAGGGTGTTAAAGTTCAAGGACCCGTAGCTTTCAAAAACAATGTTTTTTTTTCAAATATTAGTCCCTTAGGCCCCGTTTGACAAAGGGTTGATGAAGAGGGGTTAAAGAGAAGGATTAATGTACTTAGCCCATTTGATAATCCGAAGGACTAAATTATTAACCCGTTAAATAAGTTTTATTTTAGCCCTTATGATCAGTTTTAGTGTTTGAGAATAACAATGATTTTGACTATTTTCTTTATAATTAGAAGGGTTAACTCTTATTCCATCTAAATAGGAGTATTAGTAAACCCCTCATTTTGAGGGGTTAACTCGTTTTAACCCCTCTAGAGGGGTTAACTTAACCATTCTATATTTTTTATGTTTGGCAAATTATGGAGGGTTAACTCACTTTAACCCTTATATAGATTTGTTGTATTTGGCAGGTTAAGAAGGGGTTAAGTCTCCTTAACCCCTAACTTAACCCTTTGCCAAACGGTAGCTTAGAGCATAGGTATTTTGATACAAGTCCCTCGGCTTTTCATATTTTGATTCTAGGTATCGCGGCAGCAAAGCTCTTCCCTAACGACAAATTCGCGAGATCTCTGCTACCCGCTGTCAATTCAAATGGCTTCTCCGTCTCCTTCTTCTTCGCTCACCTGCTCAAAGCTATCAGCTTGGATCTTGTTCGCCGTCCTCCTTCAGATCCTCGGTCTCTCTCTCTTCGTCTTCAGTTTCTTTCCGGTCAAGCCAACTCTCCGTGGCAAAAGGTTAAGAGTTTTCATCAACAGTTCCCCATTTTTTAGGGCAAAAGATTTTTAGGGCAAAGATAGGACTCATGATTCTAGCCTATCGATTCGTTGATTTCTAATCCAGTGGACTCGAGAGCTACACGATGCCGACCTGTGATCCCGTCGTCTACTCTGAAGAGAGCGATTTATCCCCGGATCAGCTCAGATCTTTGTACGAGGTCCGCTTATCAAAATTCCCATTTCTCTGTAAATTTTTATTGCTATTCTGATCATGCTCCTTTTTGGTGAAGGGAATGTCTGGAGTTCCTCCTGCATTCGATCGGTTAATTTTGATGGTATGTCTGCTGTTGGGGTTTTCTTTTTCTTTTTCCCCCCCTCCTTTTCTTTTTTGCATAGCGTAGTTGGTGATTTTTTTTTTTTTGCCCCCGCCCTTTTACGTGTCATGTTAGCTTAGGTTGTGGATGGTTTGCCTGCTGAGTTCGTGTTGGGAAGAGGTGAGAAGCCTCCAAGTAGGTCAATGATGGATGCTATGCCCTACACCCAGTCTCTTTTGTCGAGTGGAAAGGCGATTGGATTCCGAGCAAAAGCTGCACCTCCTACAGTTACTATGCCAAGATTGAAGGTAAATTTATTGCAAATACGACAACAAACCCTTTATCCCAAATTTTATGAATTGCCCAACATTCTAATCGATGAAGTATTGTTGGTCTTATAATTGTCATGAAGGTGAACTGATTATGAAGGATAAATACACGACTGGATGAAAAATATGACTCATCCATTGCCGTTTTTGTAGGCCATGGTTTCCGGGGCGATTGGGAGTTTTCTTGATGTGGCATTCAACTTTAACACCCAGGCGCTTCTGGATGATAACCTCCTTGGTTAGTTTGTGCAGTTTACTGCGGTAGGATCTCAAATGTGTAGCTTTTTAACTTGTAGGAGCCGGAATTGCATTCTTACTCTGTCTTTATCTTTTGTGCAGATCAGCTTTATCGTATTGGTTGGAAAATGGTGATGCTTGGAGATAACACATGGATAAAATTGTTTCCTAGATTGTTTACTAGACAAGATGGCGTGCACAGTTTCTTTGTAAGTATATATTCTTTGTTGATTTTTTTTGTTCTTGTCAAATGATTAGGCTGATTAAATTTGTTCTTCATAGTGATAAGTACATCACTATGTTGCAAATTCAACATTTTATTGAATGCCACTCTGCTCATACTTGACGATTAGTTATGCAACCAATCTATAATAAGTTATTACGCACTTTCTAATTTTATTATGCACTTTTTAATGTGTTGTAATTCAGTAGTTTATCCGAAATTGTTGAGTTGAAGATGGTAGTTGCAGGAGTTACCTCACTTTCACTAGCATTATGACGTGTTATTTGTTGCATCAAGATGAAAATGAGCATTGATGGGCTATGGAATTATGGATTATTACACTAATGGATCTCCATCTAGGTCTTTGGTTCAATATTGTGCCTCAATAGGCACAATTTTATTTGGCTTTCTTCTTGCCTTTGGATGTCCATGTCATTCCCTTTCCCTATATTATCTTGTATGTTTACTTTTGTCTACATTTTTTCATAGATTAGGCAAAGAAGAGCTTGTTCTTTGTTCTTAATTGAGTTTAAATTTCATTTCAATCAAGTTCTACAAAGCAACTATTGACTTTATCACTTAGGTTTGAAGAAAGTCGGCCATGAATCTGATATGAACTGATACAGGCTGATGTTTGGTCGAGAGGCGGTGACAGAATCTTTGTTAACTTAGAGCATTGATGTCAGGTTTAGTTTGCATTTTATCTGTCAAACAAACCATTGGACTATAGAAATCTTTAATTGCATTCACTGAAGAAACATGCATTTAGGGATAGAATCATAGAACTGAGGATTGGAGTCTCTATTTAATGGATTGGAATACGTTTAGTTTTTACATTTTAGTTGCATTCATTTTTAGTAAGCAACTTCTTACCTTCAATATGTCTCAATCTGTTGGACCAAAAATCAAGTACTATACGTTAATGATAGCACCTTGGATTGAAAGCATATTCATTGATGACATGAATTCATGTACTGGTTTACAGATGTTATAAGTCTTGACAAAGGTTTTTGGCTTTAGAAAAAAATATAGCTCATCTAGTTTTTTCTTTTTTTCCTGTGTAACTTAAAAGATTTTTTTTCTTTAAATTCTCCCAAAAATTTTATTATGCTTTGGTGCCACTGTTGGAATTTATTTATTAGGTATTGAAGTCATGAGAATGTGATATAGTTTAAATTTAGCTGTTGACTGAAACAAAACCCAGGAATTTCCATAACTTGCTACTTCAGTGATTTCCCCCCCTTTGATAGCATAAATTACAGGTTTTCTATTGCAGTGCCCAGTTAGCTGCTGATCTTAGAGAGCATCATAATGTTTTTTGTAACTGATCTGTGCCTCAACCTTAAGAACCTTCACTTAATATCTATCTTAACATACTATCTGAATCTTCTAATTAATCTCTTGTAACGATGCCAGCTGTCCTCTCTCTGCACGTGTTATGTAATTGTGGTTTTATTGATTCCTTTTCTGATGTATAGGTGAAGGACACAGTCGAGGTTGACTTTAATGTTTCTCGTCATCTGGAAGCTGAGCTTGCTGCTACTGATTGGAACCTTCTGGTACATTCAATTTAACCCTAGTGGCTGCATTATGTGCCATATACATTTTAAATCAACTCTTTATTAATTCTTTAATTCTTTCACGCTTTTTTTTAAGGATCACCATCTATCAATGTGAGTTTTTAGTATAGTAGTAAAGCCCTCTGCAGCGATGAAGGGAATAGTCTAAAATGTCTTTCCCCGCAGATATTTCCTTAAGATGTCTCCACTGGCTCCCAAACAGGGGAAAACACCCCACTCTTACCCTGCATTGCTGCTGCAAACCTCTTTTAGGTTGCATCCAGTAACCTTCTTGTTAGGTTCTAGGTGAGCAAATTGGGTATTTAAGAGGAGGAAGTTGGATCTCCAAAATTTGACATGTTTGTTTTGTTCCTTTTTTGCTTGAAACAATTATACTATGTCATTCCTGATCTAACGACATAATTGGTTCTCTGTTGTGGGAGCACGATAGCTATAAAGCTGAGGCTGCAAGAACGATTACAATAACAAAAACTTGTCAAGGAATTGGGCTTTAATAGTCTACATTAAGTGATGTTTCTTTTACTGGAAACCAAAAATATGAACCATGCATGTATTATTGTCTATAATAAATTTCTAACCACAACCAGGTTTTTCCCCCTACACCTTTCTCAATTGACACGTATGCTGAAACCCAAACCTTCAGAAGAATGCTTATGCATGAATTCAACCTATGATGTGCTGTCAATGTATGATAATATAAATAACTTGATACCCTATTCTAATTATTTGTTAGTTTCAATTGGGTGCTTGAATTATGCTTCATTAGATCATAATGGCTGGTGTCGTTTCTTGTGGTAAAAAAAGATTTCACTATCAAACTCAAATTTTACCTCTGGGTACACAAGTTTGTAATTTTAACCGGATTAAAATACATGGTTATGTTAGTATTCCTTTAATGGAATATATACCTTCACTTTGTATTTAACTTCCTTTTCTAACACAAGCTCTCATTTTTTCTTAGATTCTTCACTATCTTGGCTTAGATCATGTAGGGCATATTGGCGGGCGCCGGAGGTGTATCTTTTCCCTAACATATTCTTTTAGTAATTTAACTGTCTTTCGTAAACTATAAGTAACTAAATCTTAGATTTGTTTAAACCTAAACTTCCAGTATGTTGATGACCACAAAGCTGAAGGAGATGGATGAAGTTATTAAGATGATTCACATTCGCAAAATTTTGCATCAAGATAATTTGGACAACCGCACCCTCCTGGTTTGTTATCTCCGTGTTCACGTTTATCTTATGTTAATATTATTTGCATGTGGACCAATTTATCATGCACGCCTTTTCTAGTGATCTATCTACTGACAAGTTTTCAAACTGCTTCAGTTTTTACTTTTACACATCATAAGTCAATTTAATATCTACCAAAGCCTAATAAATAGCAAGTGATCTATAATCATCAAATATATTGTTGAAAGTAAAGGAAAAAACTACAAAGTAGAAATTGAACATATAATATTTCTATAAAGAATATACAACACTTGGGTTCGCTAATATTAGTGTAAGTCCATTAGAGTCCGTCTAGCTCTTCAAACAATACTAATGTAAACATCCATAAGAGTTTTTCTAACCTATGAACCAATGTTCAAAGTAGAAATTGAACATATAATATTTCTATAAAGAATATACAACACTTGGGTTCGCTAATATTAGTGTAAGTCCATTAGAGTCCGTCTAGCTCTTCAAACAATACTAATGTAAACATCCATAAGAGTTTTTCTAACCTATGAACCAATGTTCA